CCTTGTTAGGGCATTCCCGATGTCGTGACCCTGAACACTATTTTTATGGTCTTTCGGGCAACTGGGAGTGGTCCCTGCGTACAGCGGACTATTGGCGACATCATTTTGAGATTCCCCTTGTACACGGACACCATCCTTTTCACAATGTGCCCATTGAGACGACATCTCCTGCAGATGAACCGAGCCTGACCACCCGGCTCCATGAATTAGCCAAAGATCTATCTGATACCTTGAAGGCTGCTACGGCATCTGGGGAATTCGATCAGACTTGGGCGATGGTTGAACGCATGAGCTTCCACGATGCTATGGAAGTCCTTCTACAAGCTCCGAATTCCTCTTCTGATTGAAGTGATCGCCCGTTTGTGCATTAGGTTCTTACAGGTTCATTTTCACTGGTGTATTGCCGATTCCGCCAGCGAAGTTCTTCCAAAAAACCAACCTCGCTACATGCGAGGTGTGTGTGTGTACCATCTGAACAGATGTAAAACTTCTTATTGGTTTTCACTAATTTGCAGGGGGGCAGTGAATCTCATTCCATCCACTGCCCAACGAAGACGGTGGTTTGAGATTGTGATATCGGGACTGATCATCCCGACGTACCTGCGCTTGTATTTTTCCGACATAGCAAGGGGCCAAGCTAAGAACCCCAACCACAATCTTATACAATTTGCCGCACTGTTGTCGCAATCTGGAATTACTTTTGGTCATTTACTATTGATTCAGTTGCATCAGAACCTTCCTCAGAGCAAGGACGTAGAAAGCACCTATGTATTATTTTGTTTACATGATCGCCGACAACATCGTCGCCGATGGTATTCATCTAAGTTTCGCCGACGTTATTCTTCGCCGATGGTATTATTACTGGTTTATTCATTCTTTTTGACGTCGATTCTGAACCCGATGACCATTCTGAAGTACTTCTATTATTCGTAGGATGCATCGTTAATTTCAGTGTTTCGTACTTAATCTGCATGTTTCAGGATTCAGTTCCTGCCGGATCATATAATGATCCATTCTTGTCTAGTGTGTGCGGTAAAAGTGGCTGAGCTCTGGGATCGATTGACTTGGTTGCGTGGACGGTCTTTTGTTTGTTTAAGGACGACGTCCTGGACGCTGACCCAAGTAGGTCTAGAGGTTTCGAAGGTTAGCGTACCTTCCGCATGGTAGCGGAGCTGCCTGCTTGCAGCTCGTAGAGGCGTAGTAGGAATGGATCCAGGGAGCCAAGGTGTACAAGGTTGTCCTAGTCCTGGTATGGCTGAAAGAGGTGAAGGAAGTGGTGGTTGTAACCGTGGAGACGGATTGCCACCTGGGCCTGGAAATGGTGGTTGTAACCGTGATCGCAAGGATCTGGGATGGATGGACAAACACCGGAAGGAAATGTTCCGCCTGGTTTTCAGAACACCATGCCCCAGCAGCAGCAGCCACAGCAACAACAAGCAAATGTGTCACAGAATGCACAGGGATTTGCGAGCACGACAAACCTGGATGCAAGTGGTCAAGGGTATCCGGTGCAGGGATGTCAACAAGGAAACATGCCCGTAATGCAAGGACAGGGACCAGCATGGTTTGGTGCGCAATGGATTCCCCAACAACAAACGTTTATGCAGCAGACTGCGCAAGCGCGTGTACCTAGTTTTGGTTGTGCGAGTATGCCTGGTGGACCAAGGTCTGGTAGTTTTCCAAACTTAGGAGTGAACCCGATGAATTACCAAGGAAACATGTCGAGTGGCCCGGTTGGAGCGACTTTGGGAGGTTTGACACCTCAAGCAGCGCAGATCCAAGAGGTCATGGCCATGTTGGGTAATCTGAATGAGGGACAGTTGCAGACAGTGCAACAGTGCAACAGCATATGCAAGATCGTTTTGTGACTATGCAGCAAAGAAGAGGGGTTCCAGAAGTGTTTGGTGATGGTCTTGGTAGGCAGCTGATTCGTCGTTTGTGACTCCGCAGCCGTTTGATGTTTGCCTGGTTTTGGTGTTCAACAGTCAAACAACCATGGAAACCAACAACAACTTGATGTTTTTGCAAAGAGTGAGAAGTGGCTCACACCGGCACCGACTCCAGTAAGTACGTGGAAGACTAGAGAAGAAGAGGTCTTAGGATGGGCTGGCTATTTGGATGATGTCATCCTGGGCAGCTGGTGGTAGTTTAGAGTTTTCAGTGGAAATCCAGCACAGTAGTAGATGGCCAGGACCTATCAGATGGAGTGCTTTGAGTTCAGTACAGCAGGCGAGGTCTAGGAGGTTGATGTCCATTTTGAAAGCAGCTTTTCACGACAATCCACGCTGCGTGGCATTGGTGAATGCCTTTAGTGAGGGAGTAGCTTTGCATGCTGTAGGATCTGGTGACAGAATGTCAGTTGCAGTAAACCAACAGTCAAATGGGTATGAATTGCTTAGACAACTTACCCTTGAATTCTCTATCAGGTCACGATCCGAGGCTCTTTCACTGAGGACCCAAATCGCAGGGAGATCATTCGTCTTGGCGGCAACACAAACATCGCCGAGTTCCTTAGTAAGCGATACTATCAGAAGAATGGATTATGAAGCCGCAAGGTTTTCAAGGTTGCTGGGAACTCTCCCTATGCAAGTGGACACCACAGGACCGAAGCTAGCAGATTCAGACATGCTAGTTGTTCTGTTGAAAAGCCTGCCGGAAGCTGTGAACAACTATGTCCTCCACCACAGCAGCGCGGACACCTATGAATCGTACCGGAACGCTGCGATGCGGTGGGAAGAGCAACATCGACTATTTAGTGATTTTGAATCCACAGGTACTGGTAAGAAATTGAACTCTCTGGAGGGGAATACAGGGTACTATTCCCTTGAAGAGTTCGGCGTCGACACGGTAGAGGGCCGATGTGGAAAGTGCGGCAGAAGACACACCGCCGGATCCTGCCGTGGACGTCAGTAAGATCAGATGCTTTCGTTGTGGGAAAGCAGGACATGTCAGTTGTAATTGTCCTACACGCCCGGAAAGTGGAAAAGGAAAGGGCGGCGAGAAAGGCAAATCGGGACTTGTGAAATCTGACATGTCATGTGGGACAAGAAAGGTTCCAAAGGCGTAAAAGGCTCTAAAGGTAGCAAAGGAAAAGGAAAGAAAGGCAAGTTGAATGAAGTTTCAGAAAGTTGGCATGAAGATTGGACCGACTGGACTGCTGAAAGTTGGGACGTCTTGACATGTGCCGGTGTTACCTGACGACCCGCGCGGTCCGTCTGAAGGACAACAGCCAAAGCGATGCAGGCCAGATGGACCTGTCTTCGTGGCTCAAGCTTTCTGGCCTATGCCGCCCGTGAGGCGCATGGGCCGGTCACTGAAAGGCTGATGGCCGACATTTGAGCACCGACTGCGGCTGTTGTTGTTTAGGCGCCCCGCGTGGCCATCGTGCAGGCGGCATTTAGGACAGCGCTCTCGTGATGCAGAGCCTGCGACACCTGCGTGATCCTGAGTGGGCACAGCCCGGGAAGGGTTGTGACACATGTGCTGGGCTCCGGTGGTGGCGCGGTAAGCGCGCTCTGGGCCTCTGGACCTGGGAAAGATAGGAGAGATGGCCGCGGGTGCGGTCATCAAGTCTCTCTTCGACCTGCTGGTCTCCGTAGAAGCTAGGTGGTTGCGCCTGCTCGCCGCAAGAACCCCTGCTTCGGACTCATCGCTGCTCACCACCGGGAGCACCCGTTTGGTTAAGAGGGTTTCGCCTGCTTGCGCGTGCTGGTGTCGTCTCACCGCGGTGGGGCGTCACAGAACCCTGTTCACCTGGACTTCGCGCGCCTGGGGGTCAGGAGCAAGCAGCGTGAAGCCCGCAGGGCACAAAAAGCAATCAGGGTGAGTAGGTCCCTTGCCGCCTCGCCCCCCATGATCTGTGTTTTACCCCAAGTGTTATGGGTTTTCTCAGCCCTATTTAACGCTGGTGGTTGGAAACACTATCGTGTGAAAAATTTTCTGTTCTACTTTTCTGTTTTCTGGCGACCATGCCCCCATGTCGCCCCAATTGGACTCGGTGCAGTTCCAACAACAACAACAACAACCACCGGAACCCACATTTTGCAAGTTGAACCTCGCGAAATTGAATCTTCAAAAAAAACATTGAACCTGGCAAATGGTAAAGCCCCCAAAATCATGGCCACTGTTATGGGGGGGTGCAAAGGGCTCAATGCAGATCAAACGTAGTAACTATTTGTTCGTGCGCTGCCCATTCACCGACCTGAACTGGTTCTTTTAGATTCAAAGGCGCGCGAAACTCTGCACAAACCAAAAAAAAACAAAAAAATACAGCCAGGTCAAACCAGTGCGTGTATTATTAGTAAAAAAAATGTATTGTAGCAAACCAATGCTCTGAACCACTCAATAACTGATGGGAGCTCACCCCACAGGTCCAAAGACCCAGCGGAAAATCAAGCACCCGAAGTGATGGAACAAATAGGGAAAATCAGTGACGGCAGAAACAAATAGTCCAAAGTTGCGGCGCAACGGGAACGCGATGGCAATCAAAGGGACCGATGCCACCTCGAAGCACAGGATTCCCGCCCAGGTTATTGCACACGAAACTACACAAACGGTGGGAGTTGGAACCAAAACCTTATTACAACCATAAATGGCAAAAAAATGCCTTGACCGCGATGAAGGGCATCGCGTGAGATCTTGATCTTGTGTTCTTTCGACGCGAGGAATGAAACTTTTATGTGAAAAACATCGTGCATGTTTGGTCACATTTTTTGAGATTGTAGTTTCCAGGTGTTGGCCACTGGCCATTTTACATCTGGAAATAATTACATGTGGTGGCTCCATAGTTTTTTGTTTCATGAATCGCAAGTCTTGGCTTTTGCAAGGCAATGACCATATCGTAAAACAGACATGTGTGAACAACATCCAAAGCCACAACTAACCACAATGTTTACTCTTTCCGTCACTATTCACATGAATCGTGTTGGTTTTTCTTATCCGATTATTCTGCGTATGGTGGGTTGCGCATCGTACAACTGATTGAAAATCTCGCTGCCGCCATGGGTTCTGCAAATGATATTTGGCAACTATTGGTGAACTATTGGCCAGTTCTTCTTGGGAATACATTAGAATGGTATGAATTCGCTGTGTACGGTTTCTTGGTTTGAAATACCGGAAGAATCCTTGTTGACATGCTTTGAAATTAGACTGTTTGGGGTTGGAAGTCCACCAGTACAATGTGGATGAGTCAATACTCATGCGATGACCGTCCAGCTATAAAAAAATCATTGTTGCCGGACACGGTCACAAGGATTTCAATTTTGTCGGCCGAAACCATATCATTGTCGGCATGTTTTTCGATGGTGAATCCAACATTTTCTAAACCAATTGGTGATGTGATAGTACTTTTCCTGTGGCATGACTGCATTTTTCCAGAGTATGATTTTCATTTTGATTGATGTTGACATTTTCTGATCCTCATTTGATTCCATTGAGTTAATTTTTGAAATTGCATTATACATATATATATATACATATGTATACTATGTGTATTATGTGTATATATCGTATATATGTGTATGTATATATATATATATTAAAAAAACATTGTACACATATGAATTTTCCAAGTGAGGCTATTTGGAGAGTTACATGGAGAGGAACTTCTTCCGTGGTTCAGCCTTGGCGACCTGGCTTGGTTTCACCGCAACGTTCGTGGCGCGGCCCTTGGGAGGGATGTTTCTGGGGATTCTCAGCGATAGCTTCGGCCGAAAGGTGGCGGTGGTGATCACCGTCATTGGGATGTTGGCAGCCACGGTTGGACAAGGATTACTTCCAACACCCAGAGGCTGGGGAGAAGAGAGTTTCGCAGGGCAACTGGGCCTCTATATGTTGTTTATCTTACGACTGGCACAAGGACTTTGCACTGGGGGTGAGATTGGTGCTGTGTCCACGTATATCACAGAGGTGGCCGCGCGCAGATCCATGGGAAGATGTGTGGCCTTCATTTCTATCACAGCCAATTTGGGTTTCATGTTTGCCAGGGAAGTGATCTGGGCCTTTCAGTCACGCATTGGTGAAGAGGAGATGTTGACCTGGGGTTGGCGCTGGCCCTTCCTGTTGGCTTTTATTCCCGGAGTGATCAGCGTGACAGGAAGGCTGTTCTGTTTGAAGGAGACGGAACTGTTTGAGCAGGAACATGTAGCCTTACTGGAGGAGGAGGATGAAGAGGTGCTAGTAAAAGAAGAGAGAAGTTCTGAGAGAAAGTCAACTCGGCGGCACTTGCAAGAGTTTGCATGTACTCACTTTGTTGAGGTACTGATTGGCACGGGAGGGGTGATATCCTTTGCCGTCTTCCAATATGGTGGTTTGGTATGGGTGAACTCCTTCCTAAAGAAACATGGTGCTCCTGTGAACTATCTGATGATGGCAGGAACTTGCTCCAGGCTGGGCATACGATACGGCGATATGTAGTTTCCACGTGGGGAGTCTTTCTTAACGTGATGAGGATGGTTTAAATCCACTGGCACTATGCCACAAATAGGATGATATGACTAAGTGTGAATCCTCTTCTATGACCTCTCCCAAGTTTTCCAGAGGTTTAATGATGTTGTAACATATTGAGGGTTTTCCCCTGAATTTGCCTTGAATTTGCCCTTCATCAATTGCCATGAAGCTGTTTTGACACTTTCCATCACTTTTTTTTAATGCTCCCAGAGGCTGTTGCAGATGATTTTGGCCTTCCCGGTGGGTTGGTTGGCGGACCTCTATGGCACTGCCTTCGTCACGCTGGCCGGTGCGCTGGTGCAGACTGCTGCAGGGCTGCCGCTGTTCCTGGCGCTTGAAGCGGAGCCTACCAGTGTGGCCAACCTTTTTGTGGCTGGGCGCTGTCATGGCTCATGGCAGGAATAAAACCCACCCATTTGTAAATGGGTGAACTAACCCCGGCAGCTATCGATTCGTTTAAACATTTCTAACCCAACCTTGGGGATAGCTGAACCTTGGGGAGACCTCAGCTGAGTTGGGAAAGTTGGTGAACAGTTCACTGGAAGAACTGTTGGTTCTATGGTGATTATAGCTCGTAACTATAGTGGGCAATAAAGGAAGTTTCACTTGGGGGCACCACCTTGTGGGGATAGCCATGGTTGGACACTTGATTTTAGCCATCCATTCGTGATTGTTATAGCGGTATGGTGATGTTTTTCCCTTTTCTCCTTGCCATTATATACGAATCATGATCATTTGTTGGTTCATGATTATATATATTAGGGACAGGGGAATGGTCCAGGCATTTTTTGAACACTGATTCTGTGGTAGGAAAGTGGACTACAAGTAGGTTTGTGTATGCCGCAACTTTGATACGCTCCCCCCTCCCTTGATGTAATTAGATGGCATGGTGGTGGATTTGGGTGCCAGATAAATTGGACAAAGCTACCAGATATGACTCCCAATTTGACTTGGGGAACCACCTGGAGTTCATTTGCCATGAATCATCCCATTTTTAGATGGTGAAATTTCACCCGGGCCGCCCAGCTTCAAGGGGTACCTTTCCAGGGTTGGAACTTGGATATTTGGAGATGGGCCAAGCCAGAGCCCGGAGGTCACCTATACCTTTGGATATAGCTTCGTCGCAGTGCTTCAGTTCACCATCTACTTGTACTGCGCAGAACTTTTCCCTACCGCTGTCCGAACCCTGGGCGTTGGAGTCAGTTTCTTTGGTGGATTTGGTATTTGATGCCAGGATGAATGTCAACCACTCAGAATCTCATTTGAATCTATAATCCAGCCTGAAATACTTCGACAGGTGATGACCGGCGGACTTTTTTATTCACCCCAACTATCCAAAAACTCGTGTAAAACACCAGATTTCTCTTAGTTTTTTGGCCTCGTCATCTCTATATTCATCTCTCTCTCTCTCTCTATATATATATATATACACATTCATCTCTATTCATCTCGAATTCACGCGAATATTGTGGATTTTCGAAATGGCCCACGTCATTTCCCCCTTGGACCCACGTTGCTGATGTGGCAGCACCTGGCAAATTCCACCAGCGAGGTAGTTTTTCTTGTGGGGCTGTGGTGATGAAATGACTGAAATGTTGGATGGGCTTCAAAAAACAACCATGAATGACATATCAATCATGTCCTATATTACATCCCACATCATTTATTATATATACCAGGGACCATATATGATATCCCATATTATATTCCCCATTGTATCCCACACAATTGCCAATGGACATATCCACATAGAATGGTTGGTTTTATCCCCAGTTTGTGCGCAAATTAATTTGATAAGCACTCATCAATGGACCGTTTTCCCTCCCAGCCACACTCATATATCATATTGCAAGCTATACAAGCGATGTATTCCAGCACATATCCCATGTTCTATCCCATATAGTTTCCGCAGAAAAAACCTGATAAAATGCTTGGCCAAATCGCCAAATCTCCCAGAAATCCGGTCCTGGATTTTTTTTGGTCCCAGGCAGCACTGTGGTTTTTTTTTATGCCCTATGAATATGATTGGTTGCCATAATAGGAATATGAGGGTTTCCATAGCGGATCCCCAAAATGATTGGTTTATCGGTTTATCATTGATAATGGACAATCCTATTGACCTGGATGATTTAGGGATACCCGCATTTTAGGAAGCCTCCATGCTTTTTTCTATATATATATACAGATATACATATGTATTGCGGTAAGCCCAAAAATAAACCATCCCCCAAATCAGCAGAATATAAATAACTCATAATAAGCCATGAATCTACACATCTTTTTCCCGCATTTTGTGCCATGGAACAAAGGTATTTCGGGTTTAATAACCGGTCCAATTCCTGGGTCCCTTCGAGGCCCTTCCCAAGTACTTGGTGGCACTTGGTGGTTCATTTGACTCAGTGGATTCAGTCCAGTTGCAAATGGATTTACCCATTAACCCTACTTCTGAAACACGGAAAAACTAGGGATACAACCATACAACCTACCTTAGTTGTATTCCTACTGTTAGTGGTTAAAGATAGCAAGTGTGAGGTGCATAAGAACAGTTCTAAGTGGCTCAAAAAACCTCATTTATCCCAGTAAGTGTTTGATAAGCCCCCTACTTATCCCCCACATATATAATTACATATATATATATATATAAAACCCATATATAACCGGCTTGTTTCATCCGGTGACCCCTGCCTGTCGTTACCAGCCAGGCTACAACATTGGCTTCGGCCTCTTCGGCGGCTTCGCCCCGCTGCTGGCGGAGGCATCGCTGGAGTGGTCGCCCTATGGCCCCGGGCTGCTGCTGTCGCTGGCCGGCTTCGTGACCGTGGTGACCATCGTGGGCAGCGTCCATTTGTTGGAGCATGGGAAGGTGGGAAAAAACTGGTTTGTGAAAACCAGTGGACATTCAGCTGTCAACATGTCAACTAAGGACAACATTGGACCTGGCATGGAAACATGAGTTCATGCATTTTCACCCTGGATGTCAGGTATCGCATTTCCTGGCTGTCAGGTGACCATTGCCACGGCACGTGGCTCAAGCGCACCGGCCAAAACAGGTGCTGACTTTTGCTCGCTGCCAGTGTGGGGTGATTCTCACACTGGTAGCGGAGCTGTTGCTCCGGGGCCAAGCGGCCTAACCTTTCGCCCGCGCTTCGTAGCGCTTGCAGCAGGGCACATGGCGCTGCTGGAAACCTTCAAGTACAAAAACTTTGTGGCTGCAGAGGACCTGGCATCGTTCACTGACAGCAAGGGTGGCAACCTTCCGAGGTTCAATGGAGATCCAACGAAGCTGATGGAATATTCTTGGCGAGTGAGGGCCAGGATAGCCAGAGAACAGTTGCTGCCTGAAGATGAGCGCAAGAAATGCGGACCTCTTGGACTTCGCCTTGCAGAGCACTTGTCCGGTCCTGCCTTGCGCGTTGCTCAGTTGATGTCAACCTCAGACCTAGCTGCAGAAAAAGGTGCTGAAACGTTGTTGAAGAAACTTGGTGAGAGTCTGAAACCTAGAAGGATTCAAGAAGCACGTGAGTTGTACCAAGCAGGAGCACAACCTGGAGGTGTTTTGTCCAGGCAACCACAAGAACCCATGGCCACATACCTTGTCAGGCGTCAAGCATGGCACAGTGCTATGATTGATTTGAACAGTGACTTGAAGTTGCCAGACTTGATACTGGCTGAACAAACCCTGACAAACGCAGGTATTTCAGAGAGTATGCAACTCTTGATCAGGTCTGCCATAGGTGGTGACATGACTCTTGAAAAGGTGAGCACTGAGCTGATCGCCCAGCATGCTCGCATCCATGAACGTGAACATGGAGCTTCGCACCACCGTGGCAAGGGCTATGGCAAGCACTGGCGCTCTCATGGAAGTCGCAGCCAACACCATGGCTACATGGCTGAAGAGACCTATGAGTGGGAGACTGCCGAGGCCTATCAGGCTGAGAATGACAACTATGGTGACGGCTATGATGAAGCCGACTATGACCATGGACATGAAGATGAACCAGTTGATGAAGGCCAACTTCTGGCCATGCTGGCTGATGATGGACTCGACCTTGGATGTGAAGAGTCAATGGAGTATGCAGCTGATGTGATTCAAGCTGACCTTGAAGCCTTCTACGCACGAGACCGTGCTGTGCAGAAGGGCATCAAGGGCTTCAAGGGGAAAGGCAAGGGCAAGGGCGGCACACGTCACTTTGACGTCTCTGGCCAGCTCTCCTTGTCTGAACGCCAGCAGAAGTTACAGTTGCTCAAGGCCAAGACCTCTTGTCGTCGATGTGGACAAGTTGGCCACTGGAGTGGCGACCCTGCATGCCCCAAGGGCAAAGGCAAGTCCAAGACCTTTGCCACCACTTCGACACCAGACAAGGGAGACGGCAAGAACAAGCACAAGCCTCGCACTGTCTACTTTGCAGTGCATGATGATGGTGGATCTTCTGGACTTCATGGATTCATGGCACAGAAGTACAACGCTGTGCCACCACCATCCAGTCTCCAAGAAGGTCAATATGTTGACAACCCTACTGCACGTGGACTTCCTGCAGCACATGGACTTCCAGCTGCTCGTGCACAGGGTTCTGATGATGTTCCTGCTCAATATGCTGTGGTTCCAAGTTTGCAGAATGATGTTAGCGATGGAAGCGTGCTCACAACTGAAGAGCTTGACAACATGATGCTGGTCAACGCTCTTGGAGTGGCTGAAACCCGAGATGATGGCAGAGTGATCTATGAGATGCCATCTGAACTTGCGGGATATGGACTTCCACGTGATCTCCAAGGTCTCTCTGGACTTTTCCGAGACCTTCCACGTCTTCCTGAACGACTTGAGATCACTGACTTTGATCATGCCGCAAGATCTTCACAGCCTGTGACTCCAGAACGGCCATCACCTGTTGCTCAGGTACCTCAAGCTGCAGCACAACAACTCCCTGCTGAACTTCCAGCGCCTGCACCTGCCAAAGCGGCATCACCAGCCGCAGTGTGTCGGCATGTCAATGTCACGACACGTGGCAGCAATGGATACTACCACATCAAGAAGTGCCTTGACTGTGGCGTTACGTTGTCCAGGGAGCCCAAGATGCCAACCACTGCTGCCTCAACTCCGCCGAATGCACCAGATCCTGCAGGTGGCACATGCACACACAGAAATGTCACCTGGCATGGAACTAATGGCTATCGATGGCGACGCACATGTCGCGACTGTGGTGAAGTTCGCACTGGACCTGTTGGCACCCAACCTGCGAGCTCAACAACAAGGACCAATGCCAGAGCTTCCTCTTCTTCTGTGGTGATGCCGGGAACTGTGGAGCAGATCTTGACCGTGGATCAACTTCCTCGTCTTCGACAGATGCTGGACTTTGCACTGCGCACCAAGGAGACGCATTCCCAAGCTGGTCAAGAGATCGCATCCACTGAACTTCACATGCTGCTGGACTACGCGATTGGCGTTTCTAGCATGGATGCAGCTCCACCAGTTTCCGAGTACCAGACTCCCAGAAGATCAACAACGTACTCTCAGCACTCTGCAACACCGAAGTCAAGAGCGAGTGCATCAACACTTGGTCCAGCTGAACACCTTGATGACATGGGCCAGAGGATTGTCAACTTTGGCAAATTCAAGAACCAGACCTACTACCAGGCTTGGTGTGATTTGGACTATGTTGAATGGGCTCTCCAAGAAGAACAAAATGTTCTCCGAAGTGGCAAGACTATGAGTTCTGGACTTCGACATCTGTGCCACTACTTCAAGGAGATGCGTCGCAGCTCATCCTCAGCCTCTGCACCAGCTGTTGGACTTATGGCGGTGACAGAGCCTTCCTCTCAACTTGGCAGTGAGGATGATTTGATTGCCATCCTTGACACTGGATGCAATGCGACGTGCCATGGAAGCCAATGGTATGACCGCTTCATCAAGGCCACTGGAGCTCCTGAAGCACACCTTGACAACATCGAGGGCTCCAATATGCGTGGCATTGGTGGCGACATGAAAGTCAGCGGACGTCGGCTTTTGGAAGTTTGCTTTGAGTTGGCCGACAGCACCTTTGCCCGCGGTACTATGCCTTCCTTGGAACTTCAAGGATCCCAAGCACCCTTGCTGCTGAGCCTTGAGACTCAACGTCAGCTTGGCTTCAAGATCGACATTCCCAACCATGTCGTCTACAGTAGCACTCTTGGCAGTGAATTGAAACTTGTGCAGCGTGATGGACTTTTAGCAATTCGACTGATTCCAAGCTACCTTGGATTGAGCTGCACACATGAATCTGGTGACTCTGGTAAACAACAACTTCATGGAAAAGATGCTCATGGCGATCACCAGAACACCACACCAGAAGTTGAAGAAGAAGAAGATGAACTTCCACTCACCCCAGAAGTTCACTTGCCCGTCGATGAGCTTTCCAAGACCGTCCTCACCAAGGGTCAGAAGAAACAGCTCAAGGATACTATCCAAGATGTCAAGGAGACTGACAATCACATGTGGGACTGCCTACGTGCCACACACCATCTTGGATTTCGACGGCGCACACTCCCCAAGGGATGCAAGACCTTTCTGCTAGAGATTTTTGCTGGAGCTGCTCTTCTCAGCATGATTGCGGCAGATTGTGGTCTACCTGTTTCACAACCTGTTGATGTCACTCATGACGGCATCGACCTCAAAATTCATCAGCATCGTGCCCAAGTTGAACGGCAGATAGAGGCGGACGACCCTACTGCATCAGCTTTTCTCCGGTCTGTGGACCGTGGTCACCTTGGCAGTTTGTCAATGCCAGCCGTGACCCCAGTTTTGCCGAACATCTCCATGATATTAGAATGGAATGGAGACCTGTGATCAAGTGGATCGTGAAGATCATACGACAGAGACTGCAAAGAGGACGTCAAGTTGTTTTTGAACAACCATGGCCTTCGCAGATGTGGAATTTACTCTGCGTGCAGATGCTTTTGCAAGATGCCCCCACTGATGCTGTGAGCGGCGAGCACCTGGAAGCTGTGCGGTGCGATCAATGCATGTTTGGACTTGCCGATGAGCAGAACTACATGCCTCACAAGAAGCCCACTGGAATCATGACGGCATCCGCCGGAGTCAAGCAGTGCCTCAACATCACCTGCGACGGCTCACACCAACATCACCGGCTGGAAGGATCGAGCCGAACACACAAGGCTCAACACTGGCCTTTGGACTTTTGCAAGGCCATCCTGACTGGACTTCTTCAGGATTTGGAGACCAACATGACCAAGGTCGCCTTCCCAGCCGAAGCTGTCGTGGAAGACAACCCACTGGGCAGTCTTGACATGATCTATGAACCATCTGACATGGCTCTAGAGTCTGATGGGAAGCACAGAGCTGATGATCATGAACTACAACTGGAAGAACACCGTGAAGAATCAGCTGAAGCTGTCGCTGCCCAAGATGCCATCAGAAAACAAGAATGGCTGAAGTTGCCATATGCCCAGCGAGTTGCTGTCAGACGTCTCCATCAGATGACTGGACACGCTAGCACTTCAGCGATGGGCAGAATGCTGCGAGTTGCAAGAGCATCACCTGAAGTTCTCCACAAGTTGAAGTTTTTCAAGTGCGAGGCCTGCCAACAGACCAAACGTCCTGAGCCTCGCCCTGTTGTCCGGCCTCCCAATCCATACACCTTCAACCATGAGATCTCTGCCGATTGCCTAGAAGTGAGAGATGCCATTGGAAACCGCTACACTGTCTTCAGTGTGATTTGCTTGGGAACCCTCTATCACTGTGCCTGGATTGTTTCTGATCAAGGCGGCACACCTAGCAGCTTGAAATGTGCCGAAGCCCTACGTGATGGATGGCTCACCATTTTTGGTGCACCGAGGTTCCTGACTGTCGACAGAGGAGTGGCAAACCGTGGACGTCTTGCAGAGCTTGTCAACTCCCAAGGCATCTACTTGCGTTTTGCAGGAAAAGAAGCTGCACATCAAATCGGCAGATGTGAACGACATGGAGGCATCCTCAAGGAGATGGTTTCTCATGCTGTCCAATCTCGCAATGTAGTTGGAGGACAGCACATACGCATGGTGGTTAGTGAATGCTGCTTTGTCAAGAACAACAGGATCAACAACGGAGGTTTTTCTCCAAGTCAATGGGTGTTGGGAAGGATGCCAGTGGAGATCTGCTCATTGACCACTGAACAAGGTCAAGAAGAACTTGGAGTACATGAAGAGATTCTCACTGGCGAGAACCAATTTGCCCAGCAGCTCAACATCCGCTAAGCAGCCAAGGAGTCATTTGCACATGTGGACTCCAGTCAGAAAGTGCGAACTGCACTGACGCGGAGATCAACACCTCTCCGTGGACCATACCATCCTGGTGATCTCCTGTGCTTTCACCGAGAAGGACGATGGTATGGGCCTGCACGTATGATTGGACGTGAAGGCCGCTCCAACCTTTGGCTGATCCATGGCGGCATCCCCATCGTCATTGCTGAGGAGAAGGTGAGACCAGCCTTAGCTGGTGAAGTCATTGCCAAGCAGCTCACCGAGCTCAAACCTCAACGCAAACGCAAGCGACAAGTCTTGCAAGACGATGTGGGAGAAGATGAAGTTCCATTTGGAGATGATCTTGATCCATCTGTTGGAATTGGAGATGAAGACGACCAAGGATCCTTCTTCCATCTTGGTCGTGGCGGTGGAGAACAACAACAAGCTGAAGAAACTCCTGTGATTCCTGCTCTCTCTCAACCTGATGTTCAACCTCAACAACCTGAACCTGAGGAGCAGATTCCCTATCCTGATGTCACTGGTGGAGAAATTCTGGTGGACCTGGACTCCAATGGGATGGACTCTCAGCCACCTGGACTTGTGGCTCCATCCATGTCGCAACACCCTCCTGGATTTGAGGAAGATCCCTTGTTGCGACCGCCACCTGGACTTGTGGCTCAGTCACCTGGACTTGTGACACCACCAGTTCCACCTCCACTGGAATTCAATGACATGGATGAATTCATGCAGGAGTCCTACACTCCAACATCGCCAATTCCAACTCCCGATGGTCCAGCCCGTGATCGACTTCTCACGGAATTGGAACCTGATCAAGAGATGGTGCCACCAACTCCAGCGCCACCAACTCCTGAAGGAGCTCATAGAGTTTCAGAACTTCAAGAAGCCATGCGACGATCAGTCAACCGACTTGATGGGCATCCACGCCGAAACAGATCACGCTCTCCGAGAGCCAACAATACTCCTCCTACTGCCATGTTCCGCACTCAGAACTCCAAACAGAAACAGCAAGCTGAATCATTTTCTGGTTTCCTTGCCCGCAGAACTCCAAAGAAAGCAGTCAAGAAGAAGAAGGGCAACAAGGAATTGAACTATGGAAAGTCTGATGATGCGCTACGTCAAAAGATTGACCAAGCACGAGCGAAGGAATGGCAGAATTGGTCCAACTTTGATGCATGTGATGTCATTCCGCCAGACAAGGCAAAAGACTTCCTAGATGCTCACCCTGATGCACAAGTTCTACCAACACGTTGGGTTGATGTTGACAAAAGCGATGGTGGTGAAGAAGCCTTTCTGAAGTCAAGGCTTGTGGTGCGTGGTGATTTGGAAAAGGACAATGAGTACCGCACCGATTCACCAACTGCCAGCCACCTCATGCTGAGTTTGATTTTGAGTTTCTGTGCCTGCTTCAATCTTAATCTCCACTGCGGAGATATCACTGCTGCATTTCTCCAAGGGTTTGGTTTGGCCAGAGTGCTCATCCTGAGCATGCCCTGGGATGGAATTCCTGGACTTCCAAAGGGTTCCTTGCTCCGAGCCAAGAAACCAGTCTATGGAACAAGAGATGCGCCACGTGGATTTTGGCGAGCCTTACACCGAACTCTCCTCCAAGCTGGCTTCCGAGCCGTCCCTCATGAACTAGGTGCATATGTGATGAACAAGCCGAATGGCGAAATTGATGGTTTGCTTGTTTGTCATGTTGATGATTTGCTTTGGTGTGGTGGTGAAGCCACACAGAAAGCGATGGAAGTTGTTCAGCAGAAGTTGAAGTTTGGAAAAGTGGAAGAATCCGAGTTCAAGTATTGCGGTCGTGTGATAAAACAAACTGAGAAAGGCATCGTTGTGACATGCCCTCATGGACTTGAAAAGACCAGGCCAATCCAACTGAGCACTGGTCGGAAACGTGACCGCATGTCTCCAGCCACCACCGAAGAGCAAGCGCAACTTCGGAGTGTTGTTGGATCATTGAACTGGATAGTCAGAGTTTGCAGACCAGATTTAGCATACGATACCAATCACTTGCAAACATGTGTTCAATGTCCTGTGGTTCAAGATTTAGTTGAAGCCAATGCCTTGCTGCGTCGTGCCCAAATGACGCGCGACCAGGAACTTGTCTATGGATGGAATCAATTTGATTTCAACAAGCTGGAGATCATTTCTGTGACTGATGCGAGTCATGCTGCTGATTTCGATGTGGACAAGAATGGCAACAAAATGGGTTTCAGATCTCAGTCTGGACGCGTGCTGCTGATTGGTGGACCAGAAGTGATGAAAGATGGAAAAGGGCCAGTTCACCTTTTGAGCTGGAAGAGCCAAGTGATCCGCCGAGTTTGCAGATCAACACTTCAAGCTGAAAGTCTGAGCATGTTGTCAGGCTACGAAGAGGCTGAGCACTTGCGAATGGTGCTGCATGGACTTCGAAAAGACCATGACCCTCTGGACCCAAGCTGGAAGGTTGAATCGAAAGACATGGTGACGCTTCACCAAGTCACTGATTGCAGATCCCTGAAGGATCACCTTGTGCAGGTTTCTGGAGGCGAAGTGAATGACAAGAGATTGGCGATCGACATATGTGGAATGCGGCAAATGATCTGGCGAGAGAATGGGCAAAGCTATGGCGATACGATGCTGAATGAGAAACCGCCTGAGAATGGAACAACGCGTGTACAGTGGTGTAATACCAAAACCATGCTGGCGGATGGTCTGACCAAACACATGGACACATCAGACCTGCGTAGTGTCATGAGTGGATCACCAATTTCAATGGACTTCATGTTTCATGCCAAAAATGATAGGGGTGTGAAAACCAGTGGACATTCAGCTGTCAACATGTCAACTAAGGACAACATTGGACCTGGCATGGAAACATGAGTTCATGCATTTTCACCCTGGATGTCAGGTATCGCATTTCCTGGCTGTCAGGTGACCATTGCCACGGCACGTGGCTCAAGCGCACCGGCCAAAACAGGTGCTGACTTTTGCTCGCTGCCAGTGTGGGGTGATTCTCACAGGTTCATTGGTTGTTGAAGATTTCGTGATGATAAAAACAAATGAATAGCATCCAAGAGTTTTTTTGCTATTTATATAGTGGGAATTAGATTGGAACATGACTTTTCAGTAGTTTTAAATAATCCGAAAGATGTCTTCCAACACGAAAATTGCTCCATTTAACCCTGCTCAGGTGGAGAAATTGGCGCATATTCGACCGAGACCCTACCTGGCCACCTGGGCTGATGGAGATGTAGTTGGCTAAGAAGTTCGTCAATGCTTTGATCGATTTAATGTGGCAACATGCCCTCTGTGGATGAGCCGATGAGCCAAGGTCGTGGCTCTGTCATGAGCCATAAACTCCCATGATATGTTCCAAATAATTTTCGACCGAGTTACATACAGCATTTGAGTTTTTTTTGGTCTCCTGCACGGCTTTCATGCATCCACTCCTGCCACGTCTTGCGCTTCAGTGCAGGCGTTTTGTGCAGCAGAGCTATTCAATGCTCGAAAGCGACATTGTTTTGTATCAGAAAAAAACATGTGAAGACTGGAAACATACGTTCCTAGAATATCCTAAGATATCCTAAGTTTGTGCAAAGGACAATCAGGATGAAAGACCACTCCAGGACGGGGCTCCTGTCCTCAGCAACAGATGCTTGATCTGCAGGTGGTACCGTAGGTGCAAGAATAATAGCAGCAAACCAGAGCGTGCTGAGAAGAACATGTTCAACATGTAAATGACATGTCTACATATAGATCCACATGAAGACTAAGAGTTATGGTGCTCAAAACACGGGCACTTATGGGGGTTCACATTATATCCATTACTTGGGGAATCCCTATGTGATGATAGCGAGATGACCAGGGGCCTGAGGTTTGACATTTTTTTCACCATGGTGCCAGACTTCCGTGAATCACCGCGCTCACCGGGATGCCAAGATGGGTCCTATTGTTTTATTAGTCTTATTGTCCAGTGGATCATTAGGGTAGACCACTGGTTCACTGAGCATCAGCTAGCTGAAATTGCAATTGCTCTAGAAAAAAAGGCAGGGTCTCAGGATGCGCACATATTTTACTATTGTTTTTGTCTCCTCTCAACCCATCAACATTTGATTCAACCTTTCCTGCTAGCTTTCGTCACCTATCCCTGGCCTCAAGTTGTGGATGTTTCAACTGACAACAGCTAGCTTTACAAGGCACCTAGCGTAGTTTCAACACAGAAATAAACAGATTTTGCAAATGGAGCGCAATGGTGCGATGCCGGAATAACCGACCGCAGAGCAGGCGGGGCTGTTGCAATAGTTGGTTCAAACATGTTCAAGATTTGGAGCCCCATTCCATACCATGATTTCAATCTTTTTCATCACAAAATGCTATCGGTATATAGATTTTCATGATGAATATATATGAAAATATCAAGGTATCAAGGTATAACACAGTTTTTCCCATTTTTTGCCAATTTTTTTCCCAATTTTTTCCCCATTTTTTCCCCATGAGGTGTGGAAAAAAAGATCGGTGAAGATGGCCCCCAGTCGCGGCTCCGTTCCTTCCTGTGGCTTCGCAGTGGACGCCACCAAGAAAGGTGCCAGCTCCTGAGGTCTCCGGTTTTTCAACATGGCAGAAATCCGTGGCAACGTTGTCTTTCCCTGGAACAACACATGTTGCTGCACAAAAAGGCTTTGCAGTAATATAATATATATATATATATTGCTAATATCACATATATGAGTATATATATATATATTCATATATGCAATGTATAGGGGCAAGGCTTGAGGTTCCCCGGAGCATCAAGGAACCATCAGTCTTGCCGTGTAATAATACATGTCTGGCCTGGCAATCTAATATATATATACACATATATATATGTTATATACACATATGTGTATATATAAAAATAGACATATATACATATATTCATATATATATATATAAATAAATATATCTATGTATATATATATATATATATATTAATATAAACACACATAAATATATATATATATGCGGAGTGCCACACCCCCACCACACCACAGGGGGGAGGGGGGACAGTACCACACCCCCACCACACCACAGGGAGGGGAGGGGGACACACGGGGGGAGGGGGGTTGGAACGCTGGACCATATATACACAAACATACACATTCACACACACACATCCACATTCACATACACGTACGCCATACATACACATACACAACATACACAACATACACAACACACACAACACACACACAACATACACAACATACACAACATACACAACACACACAACACGCACAACATACACAACATACACAACATACACAACATACACAACATACACAACATACACAACATACACAACATACACAAAAACACACAAAAACACACAACATACATAACATACATACATACATACATACATACATACATACATACATACATACATACATACATACATACATACATACATACATACATACATGCATACATAACATACATAACATACATAACATACATAACATACATAACATACATAACATACATAACATACGATTCAATACGATTCAATACGATTCAATACGATTCAATACGATTCAATACGATTCAATACGATTCAATACGATTCAATACGATTCAATACGATTCAATACGATTCAATACGATTCAATACGATTCAATACGATTCAATACGATTCAATACGATTCAATACATATCAATACATATCAATACATATCAATACATATCAATACATATCAATACATATCAATACATACAATACATACAATACATACAATACATACAATACATACAATACATACAATACATACAATACATACAATACATACAATACATACAATACATACAATACATACAATACATACAATACATACAATACATACAATACATACAATACATACAATACATACAATACATACAATACATACAATACATACATACATACGTACGTACGTACGTACATACATACATACATACATCCATGCATGCATGCATGCATACATACATACATACATACATCACTTATTATGACATGACATAACATAACATAACATTACATACATTACATATATAACATAACATAATATAACACAACACAACACAACATAACGTACGTACGTAGGTACGTACATCCATGCATCCATCCATCCATCCATCCATACATACATACATACATGTATACAATATTACATACAGTATTTGTATATAAAGACACATTGTAGTACATATACACACATATATATATATATACATACATACATACATACATACACACACATACACTATATATATAAATATACATACACATACACTATATATATATATGCATGTATAATATGTGGGTATACATATGTACCTACATATCCAGCAGTCGTGTTTCATGCTCCAATTGTGGTGTGACTAGTTCTGATTTCGTACCCTCTAAGGAGTTGCCACTGAAGGTGGAAAAGCGTGCCAAGGGAAAGAAGGTCTGAGAAAATCCTTGTTTGCACGTTGCTTGCCATGCGGTCATCCGTTGAAACCGAGATTTTCCAGCCACAGATTTTCGATAGAAAATAGATAAGCTTCGGTGGTATCCCCAACAGTCGCAACGTTCTATTTTTACAAATCTCTCTGAAGCGTGCTGCGAAGCGAAGCGCTGGAAAACATCAGCTGGGTTTCTGTGAATAAAATGGCCGCAAATCCTGTTGAACCTGACCTGGCTCTGCGCCAAAGCCTCCCGGACCTTCTCCGGAACCTTCTCCGGAACCCTGTTGAACCTGACCTGGCTCTGCACCAAAGCCTGCCGGAACTTCTCCGGAACCCTGTTGAACCTGACCTGGCTCTGCACCAAAGCCTGCCGGAACTTCTAACCCTGTCGAACGTGACCTGGCTCTGCGCCAAAGCCTCCCAGACCTTCTCTGGAACCTTCGGAACCTTCTCTGGAACCTTCGGAACCTTCTCTGGAACCTCGTTGAACCTGACCCGGCGCCTGCATCAGTGCATACCGGAGCTATTCTGGGCTGAAGACCCCATTAATTACCTTACGCTGTTGGGCAATAATCCATGACAATCTATGATTTTGCACCGCTTGCCGCATTCCTTGAAGTGCGTCACACGGGATGTGTGCTTGTTGCCAGCTGTTTCAGCCAGGTAACGATCATCGGGAATGTCAATGGTGATGCCCGACCTGCATGGTGTTTGGCTCCGAATCCCTTGTAGTTTGCCCAAAATAATCAACCGTGATCATTTATTTGGAGGCTTGCAAAAATTATCCAGAGCAGGTAAGCATGATTAATAGCGAGTTAGGGATGTTTCAGCATTGTGAGTCCGTGAGTGCTTACTTATCTTGTTTATTTAGGCAAATCGGCAAATCAGTGGTAGTGCTTGTCGACATCACTGGTCAAAAGCGAACAGTTGTTGTTTTCGTCCGCAACTCTTCTGGTTGACCACGGCCCCAACCATTGCGGTTTCACGCGGCAGGCCACTCGTCTTTCCCGCGCCTTGCAGACGATGCTTGGGGTTGGAGGATCTGTACGACAGGCGCAGCGACACGCAGATCTGTAGGTTTTTTGTTTGCTGCACCGGCTTCGCAGTTTTTTTTCTTACCTGGCCTGTGCGTTTTTTCCACCAATGACATCACTGTGTGAAGCAACACATGGACATGGGCTGGGAGGCGGTACGACTTTAGCTGTTTGAGTCTAGTGAAAAGCTGGGTGGCCATGCCAGCGCCAAGTGGTTTAGTGGTTTCTTTTTAACACAGTATCCATCCATCAAGTTTGATTGCCATTATTTCTCTGAGAAGGCTTCTGACTCCATTTCCCCATAGTTGGCTTTTGTTTCGGTTCTTTTCGTCCAGTCTTTCGCAAACCCTGAACTCTTGTCTTATACTTGGGGCTCAACACCCTGTAGGCTGAAAGAGGTGCTTGGTCTGTGGAAGTTCAGGGCGTGCGGGACTTGGGCTAGCCCTGGTGACGTGTTGAGGCCAGGTGCTATGATCAAAATCTGGATGCAGGTCTGAAAACTATGGGAATGACCCCCCAACTGGGGGTTTCGTACAATGGGGGATAGTCACCAGAGGTTTCAAATGGTTTCAATATTGAAATGCTTTCATGACTTGGATGATTTTGGGGTTCGCCATTTTGCGAATCCCCCCAAAACCCTCATTGTTAATTATCAATTACCACCTTTCCGCACGGTCCGCACGACCCCCGGTGTTCCAAGTATCAAGTGCTCCCTGCGCCAAGGATCAAGTGCCACGAGTCACGAAGGCATTGCTGGACTTCCAATGTCTTCGTGGCCTTTCCTCAAGTTCTTTGGAGGCGCAGGGAGGGACCAAAGAAGGTGCTGCTTGGGTGATGATTGAACAACCAGTGGCTATTGAAACATGAACCAATGGGTAGTAACAACCAATGGGTGTTCACGGTAAGTTAAGTATGAAGAGTTTTTGGGAATTTCACCAGCAAGAAGTGGAATTTATTGATTTAACCCCAGATGGAGATGTGGGATATTTGAACCTCCGCAGCACCCGAAAACCATCTTGTTACATTGACAAGCCAATGAACAATTACCTCAGGGCATACTTCCAAACCTTCCCCTCTTTGGAGAGATGGTTTTGGATTCAAACACCCTGACGGATCCTTGATCTGAGTCTGCACGAACGGTGAGCGAGACCAGAAGGACGGAGTCCGCGGTGGACCGTGCGCCCTAGCCTAGGTGCATCTTTTCCCTTGGTTTTTTCAGTGAGTCTACAAGGTATGGTAAAGATGTGTGATGGTATGTGAACAAGTCAAGTCTTCAAGTGGGAATCACGCCAACATGGGTAACACATTAAAGAAACCTCTGGGAACACGACCATTTGCCGATATCAGATGTGATCTGCTGGGACTTCTGCACTTGTTCCTTTGAAAGGTACAGCTGCCACAAAGTTTTTGGCACAGACACAATCTGCGCTGGGCTCAGTGAATTATGTGGGGAGCACCTGCCAAGTTAGACAATCATGCTCACAAGATCGCACAAGATCTACAAGCACAACATATTAGCTAGGTTTAGAAGTCAAGAGAGAGTTCATGACATGTATATTTGCAGTGAGTCTCTGCTATCCGCTGTTGCCCGTTTAGTCTACATTTGCATCTTGTGTTCCTAAATTTCTGACATTTTTCCCGACTCAATAAGGGTATGGAGCATTTTTTTTGAGCTGGGGTACCAATGGATCCCCAGAATTTGTATGGAAACATCTTGGGAATCCAATTGTTTGGACACAGCGTTACATATTGGTTGAAGTATCAACTGACTTAGCTTACCTTTATCAAATCTATGTGGTTGAATTATAGCGACCTCACTGAGCTGTCACCGGAATGATAGTTGGTAAGGGAAACTTTTTTCAGGTTGGTGAATTGTCATTTTTTTCGGCTAGAATCCCCATTCACGATCTTGGGATGACCATTTTCCATATCAAGATAGCTATATATATATAATGTATATATATATAATGTATATATATATAATATATATAATATATATAATATATATATATAATATATATATATAATATATATAATATATATACATTATATATATATATTCTCATTATATTCCATGATATTCCCACTATATTTCCATTTTTATTGGTTAAATGCCATTGAATCCCATTATCTGGCGAAATGATAACGGCCTCACTACAACCTCACATCACCACAGCTTCACAGCTCCAAAAAGGGTGCGTCGATGTCCCCGGAAGAAGAACGTCGGCGTTTGTTGGAACTGGAGGTGGGCGGGCCGGGGTTAGAATGGACGACCCCCAAGCTATCTGGGTTTGTCTGAAAATGTTGGGTTAATACTCCCAATGAAATAGCCATTTAAAAACGGGATAATGATCAGCAAAACCATTGGGTTTAGGGGTACACTATTTTCAGACACATCCATCTAAGGCTTTCTTTAAGCCATGGATCCTCATTTTTCCGGGGTTAAGCTATACTAAGACATGTGACTTGCATGGGGTACCACCATGACTTCGGAAACCTCCATCTATCATCCAAGTTATTTTGGTCATTTTGAATCGGGAAACCGGGGAAAAGGGGGACGGAACCGCTGGATTCCTGCAACCTTGGAACCTGCTGTTGGGTTGCAGCGTTGAGAACAACCTTTTTAGTAGGAACCCATTGTCGTAGTTTATCTTCCGTACCTGCAAACACCTATTAAACTATAATAGTCAGCCATTCTTTGTCAAGATACCCTCCGGTAGTTCGTTGTATGGAAATGGAAAGTGGCCAATTTTTCGATTTTAAGCACGGTAAATTTGTGTAAATTTCCATTGCTATGTTCAGCGGACACATCTTCCCTTCAGGCTGAGTTCTATGGACAGTTCTGGGAGACAGCTCAAAGCTCCGATGACTTCCTCGATGTGTTCGAGGCACTCCATCAGCCCCGTGTTTTTTTTTTTTTTTACATGGTTATGGCATGCTGTGGCCATGATGCAATAATACCCAGAAATTGGGATATTACAGTATATAAATATATAAATAAAGAAATAAACCAATGAATATTATAAATAAATAATGTACTTATATATATATATATATATATGGATAATCAATGATATATGAAATATCGCGTGCTATGTTAGAGATGTTTTATCTTGCACACACACACGTTTTTGTATCTCTGTACATCTACATGAGAGAAAATAGATATCACACGCACGCGAAAAAAACTTGCTTGAAAACCTCGAAGGATTTCTGTAACAGAAAACTTTGCAGGAAAATGGTGCTTGGCAAAAAGTAGTTGCGTCAATTCCAAACACCTTCAAAATCAGCTCCTCGCTCAGGTACAACTACCAAATTTGACAGTTTTGCACGGCGCAGTCGCATTGACAACCACAAAAGCTTACAGTACTCCATATGAAAACCATTCGAACTGCGCACTTGTCACAGTCACGAAACACATCCAAGTCTGTCAGCCGTTGTCCTCGTTTCTTATATCATGTTTTTGCCTAAACACTGTTCAATGTTGGATGTTTTCCCCGAAAAACTTGGCGAAGGGAGTTTTTTCTTGCATGATATGACATTTTCATACATTTTCATGATGTCATAGTCTGACATTCGCTGAGAAAATGAAGACTTGACGTAAAATAGGCTCCCTGGTATATTCCCATGAAATCTTGGTGATTCCCCGAAAAACTCTCGCAGGCCGACCTCTGCGAATCGCCACCGGGGCACCATGTGGATGTGCTTCCAAGGGCCACCAAGGTGTCGTCATGACTGGTGAAGAACTGCTGTTGGATATGTTGGATGAGTTGCCAGGATGGTCCAGAGTTGAACATCGCCCTGCAGGTGCTGTTCTCAGCTTTGAACTAGTTTGAACCATGGGAATCTTCGACGCGACGAGCGGAGTTTTTTTAAATCCAGGCACTGGGCTTGTTGGCCGAGTGTGGAAAAGCCGTCCGAGAGTTCTGGCAGAATTCTGGGATGAGCCTGCAGCAATTCAGGCCATGGCTGTTGGGAAAGTGGCAGGGGTCAGGCGTTGCTATCCGTGTAGAGCACCTCCCAAATAGGTAGAAAACATATGATGCTAGAAAATAATGGTAACTAACTTTTCTATCTTCTTGGGGGTTATTTGGGCCCACTTTTTTGGGCTCCCGATTTCGACCCATACCCATATTCCAAGGCCAAGACCAAACATTGGCCCTCATCAAGCAAGCTTGGGTTTCTTCTAGCTTAGACATTTTTTCCACTTTAATAGAATATCTATAGTGAATATCAGTGAATATCAGTGAATATCCATAAAATAGCTACACTTTTCCAAGTACCCCCGGAACCGCATGTTTTTGAACCGCGCAACGCCGGCAGGAAGATGGCCATGAACCCTGGAGCCAGGATGATTGGTCAAGGTCCTGGGCGGAAGCAAACGCCCACGAACTTGAAGTCGCGGCAGTTGCTTGGCGACGGGAGCTGGGGATGGGTTGATTTCAATGGTCATCTTTGATAAAAGGTGATTGTTTCACATGACCTAGAGTCAGATTCAAGTCTAAGTGTGTACTCTTACGTGTATGTGTGTGTATATATATATATATTTATTTATGCATATACATACATACCTACCTACGTACAGACAGACAGACAGACAGACAGACAGACAGACAGACGTACAGAGGTACAGACATACAGACAGACAGACAGACATACATATATATATATATATATCAGACATATGCATGGTAGCTAACAAAGCCCTATGCGCCTATGCGCCCCAGGATTGGTAGGTTGTTCTGAATAGCTGGCAGTCAACACCCATCGATAGCATGATCCGTTCATCCTTCACAGCCATTGAGGAAGCTTTCAGACTGGCGATCCGTTGGAAGGGTGCGATGCTCTGGTTGGGTGTCGGATCTGGCTGGGAGGGCCACATCCCCCTTCCCCATTTTGGTCACCACTCCAAGAACGTCTGGGTTTATGGATACAGTAGGACGTATTAGCCACCAACAACCACATATTTGTAGTGGCGAAAAAATCAAGCATCAACTGAGCAGTGTTCAAAACCACTGTTGGTCGATGTTTTGGTTCAGGTGATATACTATACTACCCTTTATATAGATAGGGATTATCACAGTCATAGTCCATTGTAGGAACTCGGTTCTTACCCAAGCATCAATTCCTGGGGGGTTCGGCCACAGACGATCTTGTCTTTGTCTCCGTCTGCTAAACCTTATCAGAGGCAAACTACTTTTCGCCTACTGTGAGCGCCATAGATAACTATGAGCGCCATGGCAAGGCGGGTCGGGTCGGATGGGTTGAGGAAGGCGAGTATTCCCAATTTTGTTTTTACGCTCATGTCCTGGTGGAAGGTCTTTGTTCTGCTGGATCGTATCCTTGATCAAAGTGCTTCAGTTTTGGCTTACCCTCTGATAATCCAACAGTTTGCTATGGAAAATGGTCCATTTGTAGATGGTTTACCGAACTTGAGAGGTGGGGTTGCATTGCGGTTGCATAGCAACCTGTTAGAATAGAGGGTACTTTTTCGTTTCGGCTGATCCCATCATCCCCATGATTTGGATGAGATATTCATCGCTGATTTTTTTCCACAGGCCACGAAGGGATCAGCGTCCGGTTCTCAGTGACCAAGGTTTTGCGGCTGACGGTGCTCACGGCAATTTTTGGTGCTCCATGGGGGAGGAACCCCAAACCCACCGGGATTTCCACAGTTTTCCTCCAAGGTTTTGGACCCTGAAAAATGGCAATTTTTTGTGCTCCTTAGGAATGCTACCCTGACGTATCCAGAAGAGCCTTCGTTGAAGGTCGAGGAGGATGAGGAGCCGTTTCAAAAAAGGGCAGGGGCTCTGCAGTCCTATCATTTCCGTGAGAAACCAACCAAAAAATCCTCCCAAACATTCCAAATTCCATTTTTGGTGACATCCTGGGTTTGAAGGGATTCCAATTTTTGTGGATACTCCCTTAAATTTGCACTTCAGAAGCACATGATGTGGAACATACCTCTACTCACATTTCCAGAGACAATTTTATAGGACCCCATCCTGATGGGTTGCTTCCCATAGAACATACCTTCCCATCATCGGAGGTCCCTGGAATTTCTACCAGCATCCTGGGCACTTTGGGTATCAAATATACCCCACAAGTCTTAAATTTCTTATATGGATCCCAAATTTTAGAAGCGGGTGCTTCTGAAAATGGAACCCCAAAGCATTGGAAAAGATGACCAATTGTGGATGATACCTGATACCGGTTGAACATTCCATGGTGTCAGCTGAAATCTGCAGCTTTTTTTGTCCAGGAGGGTTGGTGTCGTGCTCTCTTGAGCAGGGCTTCCCAAAGACTTGGCTTTGTCTGCAAAGGTTTAAAGGTTCATTTTGAATTTTCCGACCGATCCTCAGGATCCTCAGTATCCTTGATTTTTGGAGAAACCACCGGCGGTGTCTGGTGTGGCCCCCCAACTTTTTTAAGGATGTCCCAAAGTCTGGGGGTCCCCATTGCATCCCATGCTTGAGAAGCGGGCACCTCAAGGCTATGCTGTGCCGTTGCCAGTACCATCTTCTCGTCAGGGACTCTTGTCGGGTGGAAATTGACATTTGGTCAAGTTATATGGGGGGGTGCCAACACTGGACCCCACAGATGACTGGTCATTTTCGGGATTAATTGGTATTAAACAATCCTTGGGGGTCTTTTGATTCCCATACCTGGTTCATCAAGGGTGGACCTTTAAAGGAAGATCGAGCAGACGTTGCGGGGTGTTTTTGCAGGGCTCAATGAATTGATGCTCAAGGTGTTACCCTTGAGCACACTTAAACATTGTGTGGGCAATGTTTGGATGAACAGGAATATAGGTTATGAATTGCCAAAGTAGGTGTAAACGACTTTCAGGCTGTATAGGCAATGTTAGGTACGTACGGTGTGTTGGTACGATGATATATGGTACGGTACGGTGGTACGGTACGGTGGTGCGGTGTGTTGGTACGATGGTATGTGGTACGGTACGGTAGTACGGTACGGTGGTGCAGTGTGTTGGTGCGATGGTATGTTGGTGCGGTACGGTGGTACGATGGAAGTGGTACGGTTAAATGATGGTAAGGTGATACTCATTGAGATGTAAAAGGTGGTGTATACCACGGCAGAACTTGATGATTGTAGACTTTTTAACTGAACATGATCATCAACCATAGACACCTTATTGTCATTGCTGAAATAGTAGTTCCTGCTCTAAACCCTAAAAACCGAATCTGTGTCCGGCGGCGGAAACTACTAGACTCACAAAATAAGCGCTGTAAATCATTTTTATGTTGTGAGGATTTCAGGATACGACAGCACATCTCGCCAGAATATCATGTATCTTATCTTATTTAGATTCACTGGTTTTGCTCAATGGGCTACCCTGATGGCCTTTGAGGCCTGTGTAGAAACTCACACAAACAATGACAAGAAAACCGCATGCTTTAGTGCAAATCAACATCAACAAACAACAAAACCAAAAAGCAAACCCAACACCAACGTACACAAACAAAAAACTAACCCAATAAAAACTAACCCAATAAAAACTAACCCCAAGCACCAATCGAACATAAAACTACCAAGGCAACAACAAAACACCAGAACAACAACAGGAAAATGGAGAACATGGATGACACTGAAAACCAAATATAATACTCTACAAGTTTGATCAAATTGATTGCAGTGGATGGAAAAAACATCCTGCACCAGTTGATAACTGTTTTATCCCATTATTTACAGGGTTTCCACCATCCAAGCTGGTGCAGGATTTCTTCCATTCATTGTTGGGAAGCATGCGAAACAAATAAATGACATGAAAGGAAATAAAAGAACACTAAACGAAATCAAATGAAATGAAACGAATTGAACATGACAAAAATGGGACGGCATGCATGGCACCAGGATTCTAAACAGTCTGTGCGATTAGCAATTTGTTGTGTAGCTCTTGCATATTGGAAATTCTCAAGTATTTAGTTTCACATATTATATTCGGAGTTTGGAATTGCAATTTCTGGCTAAATGACACACAAGTGACCACATCAACGAACTCACAAGCAGACCCACGATTCGACAAGAAAAATGCAGCAAATGCACTCACACGCAAGCAAGGACCATAGAGGGGGCCATAGAGGACATGGATTTGTTACTGTAGCCAGACGTACATGGACGCAGCTCACCCGTGGGCCATACAAACCAGGTCGTGGTTTGTGACAAGTTTTGTATCTTGTATGTCAGTAATATTCACAACTACACAAAAGTAGAAAAAACAAACAAACGCGCAAGCAAACTCAAGTAGAAATGCAAAACAAATGACAAACAAACACAAACAAAAAAAACAACTGATGTGGCCCCTTTGCGTTTGTGGTCGCGGATCCAATCTGCTTTAGCTCTGAAAACCAAAAGAAAACACAAAGATAAACATGATAAACTCATTTTGTTTGAGGGATCAGAGGCATTGTTTAGGGCTACTGATTTCCACCTTGGGCATACTGTATACTAGAAAAAGTAGTAGTGTGCGCGTCCGCATAAGTTACACGAAACGGCATGGGGCCCAACATTTACCAATCCAGAAGTCATCTTTGGTCCTGACCCCGTGACCTATCGAAAATATTTTATTTCAAGTGGTGAACCACCAGGGCCACTACCACTACCATCACATACTACAGTGTCAAAACCCCTCACACACACAGCCTTAGACGATTCAGTCCGCTTCTCGATGCAATCTCCCCTCATGAACTTGAAGTCTGAATGCTTTTTGTGTACAGTCTAGATGCCTATATAGCACCAGTATCACATACATGCGTCCCTGCATGAAGAAATGCGCTAATATATACTAATATCATGTATTTAATATATGTGTCCAACAAAAAATAACATACAGTGCCTTGCATCTAGAGTGTGTCTCAATATTAACAGTCTACCCTTTTGTGCTGCACACATCTGCACACTTCATTTGGCTGAGCTGTTATCCATGTGTGTTTTCACACAATCCCTAGATTGCTCAATTTGCCCCCCGCTTTGCATTTGATGTGCTTCACTTGCGTTTCATGTGTTGCTATTCCATATATTGATATATATATATATATGATATATATATATATATTTATATATATGTATGTATGTACCGTATGTATATATGTATAGTTGTATGTGTGTGTGTGTGTTCGTGTCCTTATTGCTTTATTGGGTGAATTTCTGCGCCAGGCATTTGCCTTGCGTCTGAAACATGTTAATACATACGAGGCTTTGTGTTATTTTGCGTTTGGGTACCTGATGGTACCTGCATATTCCCAGTCTTGTGAACTACACCATAGTAAAGGTGTTGAATGCTCAAAAAACATCCTAAGAATCAATGCCGCTCCATGCTAACTGCGCTATATCTGTCCCCAACAATTCGACCCGACTATACCCCAAAACCGTACCACCGTACCCTACCATTGTACCAAACCGCACCCCAAAACCATACAACCGTACCACACCATACCACAAAACCTTACCACTGTACCACACCGTATCCCAAAGCCGTACCTCAAAACTTTATAAGTTGGTATCTTTTCGTAGGGTCGGGACTGTGCGAGTGTACCCGAAAACCGTACCCCGAAAACCGTACCCCAAAACCGTACCCCAGAACCGTACCCCGAAAACCGTACCCAAATAAGGACATATATCGATATCGGTTCTGGGGTACGGTTTTGGGGTACGGTTTTCGGGGTACGGTTTTGGGGTACGGTTTTGGAGTACGGTTTTAGGGTACGGTACGGTACAGTGGTACGGTAGGGTGCTTAGTATTGGTACACTCCCGACCCTACGAAAAAATACCTCCTTTTTCTGGTATATACAGTAAGTGAGACTGTTTTGGGGTATGGTTTTGGGGCGCGGTACGGTAGAGTGGTAAGGTACGTTGGTATGGTTTTGGGGTACTGTACAGTACAGGCGTACAGTGGTATAGCTTGGAGTTGTTCAACTCCGATCCAAACTTTGCGAATATCGTGCTGAGATGGATTGAAAATATTGAAACTACACATCACGTGAATTTGTCTGATGCACTCAAGTGACTTGTGTCCGACCTAGCGCAGTTTCGGTGGTACAATTTTTGGGTACAGATCCAGGTCAGTTATAGAGCGAATATATGCGATTATGATTTATGGAATTGCGGTTGCAAATCTCTAGAAAGGCCACACATCGGAATTTGAATTTTCACGTGCAACATGCGTAAAAAAACATCAAAAGGCTGTATTTATGAATGACATTAAATCACAACTTAAAACCCATTCAAACTACATTTGTTCATGAATGTGTGCTTCCAAAACCACATTGAAGAAAAGCAATATTCTGAGACAACTCTTCTGGCCACCCACAACGATCGAAATAGGAGAAACACTTTGAAACAAAAAAACAATATTCTTAGACTCTCTGCTGGCCACCCCCTACCCCTCCCAATAGCAAGACTTCTTGGAACGCGCTTTCGTTTTGACTTTTTTCAGCAAACCTCGAGACTTTTGGGAATGTTGCTTTTTGTCTTGATCTCCTAGAACCCCAATCTCAGGATTTCTGGAACAGCGTGTTTCTGGATGTTTCTGGTACGTATATTTAATGTCTTGTTGAAACCAAGACTCAATCAAGACTCCTGCAAAACCTTTCGTATTATTTGTTTGATATTCTTTGTCTTCTGCAGGGGAGCCAAGACTTCCGGAAAACTAGTCTTAAAAACAAAAAACACTTTTCAGCTGCAATAACTATTTGTACTTTTTTGAAAGGAATGCTGGTTGTTTACGAGTTTGCATTGTCAGAAACACACCACTTTCTGACAGGAATACTCTAATGGTTTGTAGCGCAATTTCACTGCTTGAAAAGAACACCGAACTTGAAGAGCGCTACCCTTTCAAAAGGATTTGTCAAAGAAATATTTTTTTAAGCATTGCAGTTGTCGACAGAATAGCATATTATATGTCAAAAGGAATTCCATGTTTTTGCAGGGAGTACTTGATATTTTGAACAAGTACTATTTCTTTGAAAAACACTGCGTCCCTCAAATGAAAACTGTGTGTCTCAGACACTGCACATCTTTAACTGACAGCTGTATCTTTCAAAGGAATACTTCAAATACAAACAGAAAATCTGCTGAATGTTGCCTGCATTTTTGAATTTAACATTGCATTGGTTCAATCCATGTTTCATATTTGGCCGATGTGTTTTGTACATAAAGCACTGCCCTGGAGGAATATTGCACCCATTGAAGAAAGATGCATGTTTTGAATGGACATCTTTTATATAAACTTGCATTATTGCACAGAAATCTACATATTTCCTCAGGTATTTACCTTTGAAAAGAACCGGCCTTGTTACATAAACAATTGCATATCCTTTTGAAAGAACATTGCGCATGTGGAAACGGAACAGTTATTTTCTTGAAGGAAGACTTCTTCTTTGAGAGAAATGATCACTGAGCGCTGTTTCTGGAATACTGAGTACTGAGTATGCCTATCTTATTTGGGCATATCTATTAACATGTAAATTTGAATAGTCAAAAAGGAATGATCAGTTGAACTCCCTTATCAAAACCAAGAATTATACAATAATCTTACTTCTCTCAAAGGTCAAATACTGCACTTTCTTAAGAGGATACAGGACACTGAACTGTTTGTTGGAGTTGCACACCAATATGCGGGCAAGTGTGACGCCCTCTTATTCTGAGACGTGCTCTTTCAAAAAGACTATGCGTTTTACTGTGTGCCCGCAATCCAATGTGCGCAAAACAATTTCCGATCTTTAAAACCTACATTGACATAGACTTAAAGAGAAACCATTCTAAATCTTAAATCCCCCCTCAATGGCAACCCCTTATTGAAGACACCATAAGACATCAATATTACTTTACCCCAACTCACTCTCTCCTTTACATTGTTTTGGGCACCAGTTTTGACCGGTTTTTGCTTTGGGATGTTTATCTTCCACAAGGTATCGTATCAACATCTCACCACACCATTACAGTGCACCGCAGAATTCCCATGAATTCCCTACCAACATCTCGTCGCACCAACATGCCACATCATGCTACATCACCATAGCGTACCAGCATCTTATCTCACCCGCGTGCCTTACCAACACATCGCAAAAACACCGTACCGCACCAGCATCTCATCCCGCAACACAAACGACTCACTGCACCACTGTATCGCACCAATTTACCATACCAACATTCAATCGCACCATGCCACCGTACTGTACCAGATAACACTGAACCACCCCAATGCAGTACAATCATATCGCACTATGTATTAAAAAGATTATCATAATCATATCTTATCATTATATCGTGCCATGACCCCAAAACCGTACCACTGAACCGTACCACTGCACCGTACCATGACCCCAAAACCGTACCATCGTACCGCACCATGACCTCAAAACCGTACCCTCCAATCGTACCCCGTTCCAAGCATCCAAATTCACACCTACTTTGAAAATTCATAAAATATAGGAGTGTTGTTTCGTCCAAGAAATCTCTGACAACAACTCCATTTCAAGCTTGACTCGGTCACATCATCACCAAGCTGATAAGTTTAACAGAAATGAAACTGTTGCAGGCCTTGAAACGGAGGAGAAGGATCAAGTAGCAAAGAAAGTCAAGCCCTTAGAATCGCGCCGTTTCCGAGGGATTTTGCAGATTAGTAAGAGAAGAGGCTCATGTTGATCCAGGTGTCAGGTGTTTTGTTGTGCGTCATTTTCCTCCACACAGGCTGGTGGCTTGGTGCCGGCTGCATTTTTCAAGGCCCTGCGATCTCTTGAAGCTGTGCTCAGCGAGGACTTTTCAGGCGAGCAGAGCTAGGATGCCGGATTTAGCTGTTTACGGTAGAGATCGAAGCACTTTAGCCAATCTTTGTTTCTGTCATGTGCGTTCAATTGTGTAGGAAAACCATTCAAGTCAGTTGGACTTCGTGCTTTGGGATTTCACATGCCCACTGCATCCCACTGCCAGGTGTAGAACGTGGACTCCCGGGAGTGAAGCAGCTCTGACATGTTGCGGCCACATGTCGATTTAGTGCAAGCCAGTTTGTTGTTGAAGACTGTCAGTTGGTGGGAAAATGTGGGAAAAACCCTCTTGGTGTAGCCAAATATCTCGCTTTGTCACAAGAGAGTAAAATTTTTAAATGAGGGTGTAATTTTGTGGTCACAATAATCATAGCAATGATTGGCAATGATAATAACAATTAGGGGATGATGAACCTGTGGCGGTGCTGGGCTTTTCCCAGCTTCAAACGAAGCCAAGCCCTGGCTATGAGTCAAAACCATGGGACCCGTTCCCATGCTCTGGCAGGTGCTTCCTGGATTGCAGCACTTTTGGCCTGGACCGCAGCATGACTTCTGATACTTTCAGTTTCTTTTTTGTTGGCTTCGGACATCATGTAATATATATATATATATGTAGATATGGTATGTACAAAATCTGGAAAGATGTCCCTGCAGGATCTCTCCATCAGCGAGGGAGACTTCCTTCAAGGCCAGCGACGTGACACAGGTGCACGGCGTCTGCGGGCTGTACCATCTCTTTGCTTTGCCGCGGCAGACACATGGGGAGTTAACCAACAAAATTGGTGAATTAATCAACAAAGACGGAGATTTGACATGGTTCACCCAAGAATAATTGGGTTCCACAGGGTTCAACCAGCAAAAATTGGGATTTGAGCAACAAGAGTGTGGGGTGATAAACATGCACAAGCAACCATGCTATTTTGGATGTGAATGATTGGGGTCCGGGTTCTGATCCATAGCGGCCATAGCGACCTCGCCGCCGAAGATTTTTTTGGGCCCGTCCAGGAAAAGCTCCAACCAATCAGGACAAGGATGAGATGAGGCTACTCGGCATTGAATTTCTCAGCCGGAGATGCTGCATGCTGTCCAACGCTTCATGGAATCATTTTCAATGCTTATTCCAACATGTTGCTGTTCTGGTGGAATTCTGGTACAGCCCCCCAAGTAAGCAACATATTGGCAAAATTATGTCTCTGCCCATCAATGATCTCGGGGGATAGCCATGGATAGCCGTCGTCATCAATGGAGTGACAGTCGCGTTCAGGCTAGAGAAGAAACTCCGTGAGATTTGCGCTTTGAAGCGTCGCCAGGCGCTGCTAAAAATCCAAGAAATGGCCTGCTGGATCAACAGCTGAAGCTATGAAAATGGTGGCTTCACCTTTGGTAACGTGTAAAGGGATTACAACTTCACCATGTTGACAGGGATGAAGATTCAGAGCTAGCTACAGCCTCAGGTTGAAGGAGAAAAACTGGAGAAACTGCAGGCGGAAACGGCTCGGCCGGTGTCATTGAAATCAGTTTCTCAGGTTCCAAACCATTGGATTTTGGATGATGGGCTAACCGTCATTTCCAGCACCCCATTTCAACATGGAAAGTCCAAGTTTTTGGTCGTTTCCTCTCGGTGTCTGACTAGGTGACCCACCAATCTACCCTAGGGAAATTCCAACTTTCCCTGGTTTGGACCAGTTTGTATGGTGATGGGAAAAACTTCGGCTCAAGCGCAGCTTGTCTGGAGATTCTCGTGGCCTGTTTAAACAAATTCACCTTATGGTCATCCTGCTGTGGCTCACTTTGTTCGACATTGCCGGATCCTTCCGCACGTCGGTGGAGAAGGTAGATTGTTCGAAGCGCGAGCATGATTTCGACCAAATCCACAAGGTCAAAGGTTATTATGGCTTCGATATGGATCCTGGGTGGATTGTAGCCATAGATTCTTTTTTCCCAAAACATTCCACACTGAGGGGTTCTTATGGTAAGTGTTTTTCGCCCGGGTTCATTCAGGGTTCGCGGTCTGGCCTCCGGATTTTGTCTGTGCCTCACACAAAAGTTCCCACAAGTGGGATGTCCATGTGCATGTTGACGGTGTTCGCTCGTGAAACGTAGGCACTCCTTGGCCCAGATCTGAAGGTCTACTTTTACTGATGCGCGCCTGATTCCGATTCCAGCTGTATTTAGATGTGTTGTGCGGCGCTCAGCCACCCGAGAGGTGTCTGGGAGTGTAAGAAGCAGCAAAAAGGTACATGCCCATTGCGCGTGGCAGGCGCGCTACTTCGGATGCCTGGGATTCATTGATTTTTCGAGGCAGGCGCAGTACTTTGAAGACTTCATCGACAGACCCAAAAACAACGTAAACTTCGAGTTTCATGTTTCGCAATGCACGCAATATTTCGTGAATTTTTACCACCTGCTCGCGCAACGCTTTCGTCACTTTTTGCATGTCGGATCGCTCTCGTTGTGGCACTTTGCTCATTTTGGTATCGCTCGTGCAATGCTGTCAGATCACTCTCGTTGTGGCGCGGCGCTCATTTTTGATATCTTTTGCGCAGCCCTCTTGTCACTTTGCGCATGTTAGACCGTTCTTGTTGTGGCATGGTGCTCATTTTGATATCGCTCGAGCAAACCTTTCGTCATTTTGTGCATGTCAGATCGCTCTCTTTGCGGCGCAGTGCTTATTCTGATATTGCTCGAGCGACCCTCCCGTCACTTTGCGCGTGGTGGATGGCTCTCGTTGTGGCGCGGTGCTGATTCTGTCAAGGAGATCTTGTGCAATGAATTTGTCAAGGAAACCACCCTCGACAAAAGAGGAGAGCTTGTATGTGGCTCTTGGAAAAGATCCTGTACAGATACTGCGAGTTCAAAAACCCATCCCTTGCACAGAATTCTGGCGACTCATGCTTGGAGAGGGTTTTTCTGATTTCTGAAAAAGGCCAATGCTTGGAAGTTTTGAATTTCTTTGGAGTGTGCGGATCTTTGTCTGTAGTTTGCCCAATGACCAGTGTAGCGAGATGTGGTCAGGCCATTCTTGTCTGCAGGTTTGACATTGCAGACGCCCTAAACATAGCGTTGTTTCTTGTGACAAGTCGACTTTTAGCCGGGGATTTGAAAACAACCAAGAAACCTTTGTACTACTGGCAGACCCTGATCAAGTATGAGCATTGCGACGAGTTCTTTACCTACTTCCCCAAGTACAATGACTACGTGGCCATGCAGTCAGTGAGGGATGACACCACCGCTGACAAGGAATTCTGTGTTGTTGAGGGGACCACTTTTCCGCCACAGTTCTGCTCCACGTTTCCGCCCGATTTTCAGAAAGAAACCTTGAAGATGGTGATCGCCGATTGCAAGAACAGGTTGTGTGAGCTGGCGCAGTCAGGCAAGTGGAAGGCTGGATGGTTTAAGCAAGGCAAAGCAAAGAAGATGCCGTGGCCCCGTGAGATGCAAAAGGATGGGCACCAAAGCCTGGGCTATGAAGATGCGTTCCTGGTTGTTCAGAGATGTTGTTGGCTTACCCAAAAGATGGGGGGCTAACATGGGCTAACCAACAATCAGATGGGGATATTTGGGGTATAATATTGTAACTTGTACTGTAACCAACAAAACTGCTGATATATAAACTGGTTGGTTTCAATGATTTGTTGTTTTCCATTGATTTTGGTTTCTTGTTTTTGAAGCGTGGCTCAACCACCAGGTTCCATCAGAAGTGCTGGCATGGACCGAAGGCGTTTGGTGACATGATTCCAGACATTGAAGAGTTCCTAAGCCAACAAAAACTCACGACCACCAGTGGGACTTTCAACAAGAAGTCCTGTGGATGCCAGGATTTTGCTGAGTCGTTTTTTTTTTTTGGAGACTCATTTCATCCCCATTTTTTCGGTATCTTAGTATCTTCATCATGGAACCCAGGGGGACCCCAATGAAAGGTATCTAGTTTCACCGGAAAGGGAAATGAAGGGAACAGATATGTTGCCCTCATCTCCGAGGATGCCGCACAGAGGATGACTGCAGCAAAAAAAACGACTGAGAGCGCAGGATTGAAACGCGGACCGGTCAGCAAAAAGATAAGTTTCTGACAAGTTTCTGAGGAAATTCTATGGCTGGAATACATGCTGGTATACAACTCAACATAGCAATAGACAATTCACCCTTTGGAAACTTTTATAGATGATTCATGATGATTCACCTGTTACTGTTAAGGATGATGATTTTCGCTATGTTCAATTCCCAAACGGTACTTTTTCGCTAAAGCTTCACCTCAGGTTAGGATCGATTCAGCATCCATCCCTGTAAGCTTGGTCGGTTCAGAACAAAACATGCTGTCTTTGTGAGAATTTGAAAAAAACATGTCTCAATTTGTGACAAATGCGCAGAGAATGATGGTATGTATATGCATGTATATGCTATAATACAAAAATGGAGACTTGAACCAGCGATTCATGGAGAATACCTGAAGGGCTTGGGCACGTACCATCTGGGTTTGTCTGCAGTCGGGGATAAGCCGGCCAAGTTCTTGCAATTTTAATGAGGAACATCATTTTCAAAGCCCTTCAAGATCATTTCTTTGAGTGGGTCACAGGGGTTACAAACTGAGAAACCAAACAAAGTACGGCAGCAGCTGAGATTAAGATCCACGAGGCAATGATGACCAGCAACTTTGCTGTGGCGCCACTAGATAAAGTGTGTTGGTTTAAGGCCATGATTCCCTTCCACCCATCTACCCACCTGTGTTCCTGTAGATTTTCCGAAATTTAGGCCGAAAAGGTCGCGAAGCGCAGCGAACTCTTCCAAGAGGTCCAAATGCCGTGGGGGGATAGACTGGGCTCAACCTGGCGGTGAACGGAGTAGCTTGGTCATGAATCTGAAGTGACATTCTCCAATGAAATATTCGAGTGGCACTGGATATTAACCCATAATGATTTACATCAAGATATTTACCCTTTGGTGATCAAACATGGCTGGGAAATCCCCGAACTAAATCGATGGTTTCATGGCAGAATCATCGAACAAAAAGTGTTTTTTCCAGCAAACCATGTTGATTCCTAGAGGGTTTCTATGGGTTTCTCCATCTAAAATATTCAAGATCCCCATTCCATGGTCATAAATATGTGTAAAGCATGGTTTCTGGAGGCTGCAACTCATATATTTCAGGGGAGTTGGATACACTGGCCTATTTTGGGTTTGTTAAAAAAAATGGGTGCCCTAAAATCCCATGGTCATTTTATAGACATTTCCCTATGAAAGACACCACATTTGGAGCTTTCCATTCCGAAAAATCCGCTTTTCAAAGGTGGCAGAAATGAAGCTGCGGAGAGCCGAGAAGGTGCACGGCGCGTGCACCGGGAGTGTGAAGTGAATCCGTGTGTGTTTCACCATCAACCAACATTTTTATACGGCTTCAAAGAGCCTTTGTTGGGTTTCCAAAAAGGTGCCTCATGTATTCTCAATTCCAGATTTATAATGTTTTGTAGCTAGTTTATATAGTGGGAACATGATTTTCTCAAGCAGTGGATTTTTGATGATTTTTGGGAATGTTCCCCAGAAACCAGGATGGTTAAACCAACCCGATTGGGGATATCTGGGGATATAACAACGATAAAAGTGGCGATACAACTGGTTGGTGCTTTCAAATCTTTGCGGGGACTGCAACATATCAGATGTCAATGTCATCAAAGATGGTGCATACAACCAGCAATGACAGGAGTAGATGAAATAGATTACTGATCAATTTGGTTAGCTTTTTCAAAATTCCTTGCTTTCCCCTGAAGACTGGGATGACAATCTGCAAGAACTGACATTTAAGTGGATTGACAAGTTCAACTACTTTTCATATGTTCTTGAAGTCGGACAAATTCAAAGTCTGTCGCGTCAGGAGTTGCTCCGGCTCTTCAAGAAGAAACACAAAGCTTTTCAGGACGGAAGCTAAACCGTGCCTAATGGGCCGCAGCCCACTTGAGCCTGGCTCAAATTTCAAAAAACGCAAACTTCCAAATCATGTTGTTGTTTTCAAAAGGTGGGCACTATGGCTCGGAATCACATCCTTCCATGACCTGCAGGATGCTTTCTGGGACTTTGAGTCGCAGGATGGGGGTTGGGTGCCAAAAACATGATGGAACATCGGGAACACCGGGAGCACCCCAATTATCACCATTTTCCACGGAATTACCACTTTTGGGGTATATGTATATATATATGGTACCATATATACGGTCTTCAGACCAACGCATTTCTTGTATTTTCTTTTTGTCTTGAATGGCAAAACTCCCTACCAAGCATGATGCAAAAACTGCCACGACTGTTCTGCAAGCGAGGATTTGTACAAAGATGGTGCTGCGCCAACGAGTCAGGATCTCTGATCCCTGTCGTTGACATTCGTGTTTCTCAAAGTCGGAGACTTGCTATCTTTACTGCACGGGAGGTGACAACTTCGCGTCACTAATGTCCTCATACATCTCTGAATGCTTGAAGATTACACTGGCACGTCTTTTAAAAAACCATTGTAGATCTCATTTGGGGAGTAGTTGTGAATGGATAGGATCTATCTTGACAGGTGGTCCAAAAGGCATGAAGAACATATCAATTTCCAAAAGGCAAAATCCGCAGCTCGTCAACTCAAGCGAGGCGCATTGACCCCCTTCGGCATCTTCAATCAAGATAGATGTGGACAGCCCAGAGTTCACTGTGGATTGAACCGAACTCGAAAAAAGCACATCTGCAGCACCTGCATCTTCCTCGACCGATTCATCAGAATGAACCTTTCGCACCGTCTTTGACAGGATTTTTGACTCATCTATCACCTGGGAATCTCCATTTTTATAGATTTTTTGAGACATCCGTTTCTGCAGTTTCAGTGGTCAAGAGCCCCAATCTTCCGCCGTCAGCCATTGCCATCGGGTCTGAGGTGAAGGTCCTGCGACTGTGAGTTCCGATGGTATCCATGCAGAGAGTTCTGCACCTCGATGGGTTTGGCTCCAAGGGTGGCAATGCGGATCCACATCAGCCTGGTTGATGGTGAATTAATTTGTTGCTACTTATGTGAATTAAGTACTATATAGATCATTTATTGTTGGGGATTATGATAAGCCACAGGACTGGGAAATCTATCCACCAACTAGTATTTCATGAGATGGGATAGGGGTATTGTTTATGGCTTATGTGGATCAACATCACATAGGTTGTTGCTATTGTTGTTGATGATTGCATAATTATGCATAGTTATTGTTGTGGTTGTTGGCATTTCGTTTGCGATGATTGTCGGTAGCCGTTGGTGTTATTCTTTAGTTTTGTGATAATGAGCATCGCTGTGATTTTCAGTTCTCATTCCTTACTAGGCAATATGATGAAGGGGAGGAGAACATAGGACAACTACGACACCACGATGAATATGATCTCATCATTCCCAAAGAGCTCCTGACAGGAGATGAAATGAAGATCACTGGCATTCCAAACCATAAGATCCAGTTTTGGATATGTTTGAATCGATTTCTTGGCCAACTTGGTGTGCCATTTTAGCACCAGATGAGTTGGCACTTCAGTGCCACAAAGGTCAGCCCAGAGTTGGTTTCCGGTGAAGCATTTCCCTTGACGCCATTGAACACCCCATTGTTAGCTGTTGATGCTTAACGCTTAATTTTGAGAGTTAACTTATATAGATGTTATATAGATGTTATAGATGGTTAAATCCTAATGATTGATGCTTCAATCCCCATGATGCTGATTTTCCCTACCTTTCCCCCACTTTTTTACCATCCATTCGCCTTTTAGAGGTCGGCGTGCCGCTTCACCTTTTCCTCAAAAATGGTGAGGTAGCGGCCTTTGCAGTGGAGATTTTGCGTGGACAGGCCCGGTGGATGAATAGTTGGGGGTTAAGCACAAAGAAACACATTTCAAATGATCATTGATGAACAATCCACCAAACCAATATCAACAAAGGAAGGGCAAAAGTCGGCAAAAGGTTCTCTTCAGACCGCTCTTACGTGACGACCGTGCTTGAGACTTGCGGAGACTCGGAGAGTTTTTTTTTGCTGAAACCTTTTGGTTCTTCAAATGGTTTCAATGTTTTTGTTCAATGGTGTTGAATAGTACTTGAATAGTATGGTTCAATGGTTCAATGGTTTCACTATTCAATATTCAAAATTGAACAACCAAAACACTCAATAGTGTTTTTTGATCGTCGTTGATCGTTCTGAAGATATGTGAGTGGTTTTCATTGGCCGATCTGAAGCACCACGAAACGGTCAGCGCAGGTCCATCTGGGCTGAGCAAGGCCAAAGGCTGTGGGGAGCCGAGAGTTCGTGTGGATTGGACTTGGTGTGTTGAATCTGGGATTTCCGTAAAAATGGGGTAGTTATACAGTTATACCATGTTATACCCCACCACATGTTGTTTTTATTTAGGGAAGATGATGATTGCCATTTGGGTGTTTGGTTTCCCCATTTTTAGAGAAACCCATTTTCAATTCCCAGTTGATCCCCGAGGCCCTCAGCAACCTGGGGAGTGACGACAAAGGCTTTGCTTTTGGAAGCTCCGGCAAGAAGGCGCTCCAGCGCCAGTTGTGCATGATTTACCCTCTGGTAATTTGTTACATAGCTATTGAAAATGGCCATAGAAATAGTGGATTTTCCCATTAAAAATGGTGATTTTCCATAGCTATGTAAACGTTTACCAGAGGGTAAAACCCAGTGATCGTAAGTCCCCCAAGCGAGGTTATCCCATATGAAAATTGGATATGAACCAGTTTTCGAAGTGGGATGATCCTCCAAGTAACCGTTACATTTTGTTGGCAAAACACTGGGGATTCAACGTGGGGATGTCAATGTCTACCACCAAGAATTGCGATGTGACCAACAAACACGGGGAGTGAAACAGCACACGTTGACAAGGGCAAAACCATCCCAGTTGACCCATGGCCCTGGCGTTGTCAGGTGACGGCCGACACCTTTGAAGCTTACGGTGAAAGCTTTGATGTGGGCGATACCATCCATTGTGAGGCGTCCTGGGCGGGATACCGTTGGATAGGTGGATAGCTGGTATCAAGGCAAAGACCCTCCATTTTCATCCATTTTCAAGGAAGGCTTGGGTGATAGGTGGATAATTCACAGCATTCTATATCGATTTCTCATCTGTGACACTGCACCAATCCTGGAAGTCTTGTTGAATTGCTGGAGCCAGGCGGAAAGAGAAGAAGGGAGGCACCACCGGGACATTTTTCTCATGTTCAGCGGTAGCAGTCCAGACAATTTTCTGTCCATGCGTTTCAATTGACCGCACCATGCACAGCGACATGCCATACTTGTATCTTTTCAGGAAGAAGTAAAACCCTTCCCACTTTGAACATGCAAATTCACTGGAAACGGGCATCTACACTCTAGAACGGTGTGTATCCCCACAGTGCAGTTCCACATCTAAAGCAATGGAAGAATGGTAAGAGGAACCAGTGGTTTCTCCTACTGAAATCAGCCAGCACAAAGATTAGATTGGACTTGAGTCTAGATTTGATATGTTTTCCACGCATGTTTCGGACGTATCCAAAACTATTTTCTTATGGACATCCCGAATGACTTGGTCAAATCCCATTTTAGTTGGTTTGCAACATCTTTTGGGGGTTGAAACTCACCAAGTTTGGTGACGTGGAATTGCCGCATTGTGGCTGCTCCTAAAATTTAGTGCTGCTCAAGAAATACTGGCCCCCCAAAATCCAGCCACTTGCGGGTTGCTTTTATAAAAGAAACAACCTTGGGTCGCCATAGCCATTTGGCTAAGGGTGGCTAGTATGTCAAAAGCTTGGTACCTTTGTTTTCACACCAAATTGTTTGCATGACTGAATGTCAATCAGCACCTTCAGAAGGACCTAAATAACCTAAATGACCTCACATTGTTTGCAATAGAACCTAATTCTGAATGTTGTAACCCCAAGTATTTGCCAAATTCGCAAATCTGGATTGACGTATCGTTCTTTCCTCAATAAAATTTTTAAAATGGCATAAATGACGGTATCCCCATTCTGAGATGGAACCCCAAAGACAGGTTGCGCATTGGCTTTGCAAAGAATTCAGAGCCCTTGGGCGTAGCCTTTGATGTGGAGGATCGTGAAGAGAGAGGGCCCCAGATGGGGGTCCTTGCGATGAAGGGGAGATGGCCAAAAAACGATGGATTTCTAGAGCTTGGGATACACAGAATCATGGACTCTGCCTATTTTTTGAGTGTTCTTCATCCAGTTTGGGAGCCCAATTTATATACCGGATCCGTTTTCGGATTTGGAATCCAACCTAGAGGTTTGAGCGTGGATGTGGAACGTTTCCGATTTCAACAATGTGGTAACGGCTGAAATCTGATTCCAAATACAACCTCCACGCAAATCAAGTAAACGGGGAAACATGGTTGAGTACAACTCAGTACAACGATCATTCTACCAATGCGGGTGGCGTGGCGTGAATGATACCCTCTGGTAAACGTTTACATATATAACTATGGAAAGATCCACCATTTTCAATGGGAAAATCCACTATTTCAATGGCAATTTTCAATGGGAAAATCCACTATAAATCACCATTTTCAATGGGAAAATCCACTATTAATGGCCATTTTCAATAGCTATTTTGACATAACCAGAGGGTAAGTTGGAAACGTGAAGATCTCCATGACTTGGCGTCCGAACATCGCGCCAATGCGAACGGCGTCTGCGGCGACCGAGGGAAGCATTGCTGGGAGTCGTGGCTGGAAAGAACTTCAAGGCTCCAAAGCTGGCGGGTTTGCCCAAGGGTATACTAGGTGAACCCTCCCTCAAATCCCATTGAATTGTGATTATGCATATATATATACATATACATTGATGATCGATTTCCCCCAGGTTTGGACAACCACATTTCCAGTATTCATTGGTTTGAGTCCATTATTTTACAGAATTTAATGGTAGTAGAATCAGTTAAATCCATAATTTAGCTGGTTAGATTTTCAAGTAGGCTGGCTAAATTCCAAGTTGTTTTTGACCCCAATGCTTCGGGGAGCATGGACAGGTCCAGCTCGTTTCAGCGGAGTGCATGCCCCTGGAGGGATCTTCGAGTGAAGTGTCTAGCGGAGCAAGGTTTTGGGGCGTCCAAAGGGTACCTGGAAACCGGGCATTTCCCGGATGGAGGTTTTCCAGGTGATTTTTCAGGGGTTGGTTTGCCTGTCCCATTTTGGGTATATTGGACATCACCTGAAAAAGTAGCCATGGCATTGACCATATACCGATTTTGGTTGGGTGATGTTTGACATTTAATGACCCATGTTTTTGATGTTTTTTTGCGTTTTCCTTTCTGGTGTTCGATCCCAATCGCCAGGAGGCTCCTGAGCCCATTCTGCAGAACTACGTCAGCTACGATCCGCCGGGAAACGCATGGGTCAAGGGGGGATGACCTGCATGTAGGAGTCGTAGCTGGAGACTCTAAACATATTTTGGAGACATCCAAGAGCTCGGTGATTGGGGTGATTTTTCTTGCTGCGGTTTGTTCAGTTTGGTCTCAGGATCTTTCCCGCTTGGATGCATTGGCGTGCCACTGCTGTCGGATCTACCCGACTGCCAGAAAACCCAACATGTGGTATTTCAGAAACCAATGATGTGAGCCCAATTCTTAAATCTCGATTGGGCATGTGTTGTAATAATCTCCAAATGGCAATCTGATCAAACTGTGTTCCTGGGTTTACCTCATTCGTCATTTGCATGGCATTTCTTTTCGGTTTCCCAGGCCTCGTTTAGCGATGGTGGTGAGGGACTTCCAAGCAGGCAATGAGGAGCGTGGCTTCGGCGTGGATGGGCTGGAGCCTGGTGTTGAATGGTGGGAGAGCTTCCATTTGCTTGTCACTGTCACGTCTTCTTTTCAGCATGGTCACTAGAATCACTAGAATCTTGCAAAAGCCCAAAACCATAGTTCGCAAGAACCTGGCGCACCCGGTCCCGAAGATTTGGCGGAAACCCTTTGCAGGAGAACCTGCTTCTATGGACCGGTGAGTCAGGGTCTCAGAGTGACTTTGCTCCGGATGCGCCCTTAACATTGGAAAAATGTTTCCTACCTAACAACTCTCGGTGAGTCCTCAGCGAATGCGAAGTGTGCTGAACAAGATTGGATGTCGTTGAATTTGCCACCTTGCATGGGTACTTTCAGGATCGAATATGATCGAACGAATCTGGATTTGTGGAATCTCTTGAGATTTGGCCAATGCTGAGTCTCATTGAGGACGGTCTACGTGTCAGACAATGACGGTGAAGGCTGGCTCTATGGTTTCTTCCTTGACCCTGAGGACTGGATTGCTTGGGTGGTTTCCAGCGCGAGTTGTTGGCCATGGATGTCATGGTCATGGTGGCAGGAATTTCTGGGTAGCTGTGAAGCTTGATGGGAAATATGGGAAATGCACAATGAGTCATGAAGATATATGAAGATCATGAAATTGGTAAAAGTAAAGAGACTTCCACAGATGTGATGAGCAACTGGCCCTCAGGATCCAGATGATGGTGGATGGTTCCCAGTCTCCCAGCTCAGATGGGCAGATCAGATGCCTCGGACTAAAATGGGCCCAATACTGCACCGTCCAAATGAATAGTTTTCTGGGGAGGAAAAGTATTGGGGACCTTCAGCCAAAACCATGAAATCCTACGATATCCTTGGAATTTTGAGGAGTTTCCAGACTTCACACAGAAATTCAGGACTCTGACGCATGGCCCAGGTGGATGCTGTGGAATTCATGGAGGAGGTAAGTCTCCAGCTTTCGCTGGAGGTATTTTTCGTCATTTCAGCTGGATGACTACTTCCCACGCCTACAGGTTGTAGATGGTTGTAGCGGCCCTTGAGTAACAAGAAGGATTTTCAGCCTACAGCAGATTACAGCAGTATTTTCCATATTTTCATGGACAAATGTGGGCTGCGAAGGGTAACTTGATGGAGGCCATTGAAGAGCCTGAGCAGCAGGCAGCTTGAGATTTTGTGAACGTGCTTGTTTCAACGCCGGAAGTCATTTGTGACAATTGAAATAATTACATATTATCGAAGGAAGCTTAGAAGTCAAACTTCCGACGATATGGACAGATGAAAAAGCAGAGGTGGGAAGAATCAGAGAAGAGAAGAAGAAAGAAGATCAGAAAAGAGAAAGAGTCAGAAGACAGAAGATGCAGGTGCGTGAAAAGGTAGAAAAGTCGTGAAGCACTTTGTTTTTCCAGTGATTTGTGGCTCCGGAGGGTCGAAAAGTAGGCTCGCTAAAGCGGCGGGTGCGGAGCCATGTGGTCAGATGAGAAATAGAAAATTGCACGCCGTTGTGGCGCGAAGCACATTTCTAAGTCAAAATGTACAGAACGCACCAACGTCGGACCACTTTTGGAAGTTGAGATGTCGAAAAAGTGCACACCGTTGTGGCGCGAAGCACGTTTGGAAGTCAAAATGCACAAAACACACCAGGGTCGGAGCACTTTTGGAAGTTGAGATGTCGAAAAAGTGCACGCCGTTGTGGCGTGAAGCAAATTTGCAAGTCAAAATGTGCAAAACACACACCATGCTTGGACCACTTTTTGACGTTCAGATGTCGTTTCGCGTGGCAGGCGCAAGGGATTGTGCACCGTGTCAAAAGTGAGCAAAACGTGAGGATTTTGTAGCATTTCCAAAAAACGATGGCAGGTGTGAGACATTTGAAGAGGATCTGGAAAGATGCATTTTTCATGGCAGGCGCAGTACAAGAGACATGTTCATCAGAGATGTTAGGAGGTCCGCGCGATGATTTCCTGAGAGGGGTTGCATTTTGGAGCATCAGATCTTCATTTTTGGGAAGATGATTTTGCGTGACAGGTGCAGCACTTTGTATGACCTGGCATCACTTTTTGGTGGCAGGCGCAGTACTTTAGACAGATGGAGTGGAAAAATCGCAAACGCATTGGTACCAGGCCGTCAGCTCTGCACTCAAAGAATTGCTTCGTTTTTGATGTTGTCAACTTTGAAAAGTGAGGAAACCTCGTTAGAATTGCTTCGTTTTTGATGTTGCCAATTTCAAAACTAGAGGAAGTTTCGCAGAATTGCTTCCTTTTTGGCGTTATCAAGTTAAAGAGTTAAGGAAGTCTTGCAGAATTGCTTCGTTTTCAAGCTTGCAGATAGACAGATAGATGGATAGATAGACATACAACTACAACTACCAGTACAGCTACAACTACAACTACATTACACTTTACTACGCTAATTACAGCACACTACAGTACAGCGACAACTACAACTACAATGACAACTGCAACTACAACTGCTACTACGACTACTGCTGCTGCTGCTGCTACAACAACAACTACTACTCCTACTCCTACTACTACTACTACTACTGCTACTACTACTACTGCTGCTACTGCTACTGCTACTGCTACTGCTGCTGCTACTACTACTACTACTACTACGACGACTACGACTACGACTACGACTACGACTACGACTACGACTACTATTACGACTATTACGACTATTACGACTATTACGACTACGACTACTACTACTACTACTACTACTACTACTACTACTACTACTACTACTACTACTACTACTACTACTATACACAGCACAAGACTACACTAACACACTCCACTACGCTAACTACACTACACTACAACTACAACTACAACTACACGACACTACACTACAACTACAACTACAACTACCCTACTTCACACACACTACACTAGACTACACTACACTTTACTAGAGTAGAGTACACAACACGACACTACACTACAGTACACTGCACTACACTACATTACACTACACTACACTTACTTACAACTACAACCACAACCACAACTACAACTACAACTACACTACACTAATTACACTACACTACAGCTACAACTCCACTACACTACAGCTACAACTACAACTGCAGTACACCACACTACATCCAGCAATTGTGAGTGAGGTGACCACTGCAACCAGTGCAACCACTCTAAAAAACACAACTCCAACCACCTTTGGGTCCATCAGTGGGTTCGCTCTGCCATCCCTGATTCACAACAACTAAGCTCTCCTATAGGTTTTCTATTTTTGAACTTCCGCCACCGACTTGTGCGGCACTACTAGTATATACTGTATACTGTATATATATAATATTTATTATATATATTTCTTGTGCAGTTGTTATATATATATATATGTCATATATTTATTGTATATCTAATATATATATATATATAAATACCATTAGGTGTTATATTCTATATCCACCGCCTCAAGTGGATCAACGTTCACATGCTGTGACTTGCCTTTTTTTGGACTGGGTGTGCCAAGTCCTCGCAGGCCGACGACACCTGGGATCAGTGGACTGCTGCTGAGCCGGAAGAACTCCCGTACCACTCTCGGTTGGACGCACAGCATGGGCAGCGGGCCAGTGCTGAATGCTAAATCACGACATGAAATGTGTCAGAAACATTCTCCGATTCAGCAATTATTCGCGATACCACATGGCAGAGATAAAACGGCATTTTCTTTTTAATCATCAACAAAACATGAAGAAAATGATATGATTAAATGAAAAAATGATCATTAATCATCAGTGTGTTTTTCTCTTTCATTGAGTTTGTTGTGTCAAAAAATATGAAGAACAATACACAACAAACCTCAATGAAAACGTGTCATTCCAGGTGAACCATCCTTAGCCATATCATTTTTTCATCCAATATGTTCAAAATTCCCATTGTTGTGTGGAAAGACAACCATATAGCATTCAGATGAGATGTCTATATCTATATCTATATCTGTATCTATATCTATATCTATATCTATATATTATCCGCATATAATCCCTCTGACGTCACCACATTTGTTGCTTACTTCCTGGTTCAAACGGGTCGACCGAGGCAGTGGGGTCAGGAGGAGGTTCCGGAGCTGCCGGACTGGGGCAATGAAGGCGCGCCGGCGGAGCCCGCGGATCCCACGGACCCCGAGACGAAAGGCACCGGGGGAACACAGCGCTGCAGATGTGGGAATTTTCGATGTAATTACATATATATATATCTATCTATCTATCGATCCATCCATCCATCTATCTATCTATCTATCTATCTATTACATCTATATTATATATATATTATATCTATATTATATCTATATTATATCTATATCATATCTATCTATCTATCTGTCTATCTAAGATCTAGATAATATTCTAATGAGCTGCTGATTTTGGATGACTGGCAGATTGCTTTCATTGATTGGAAACTTTTATTTCTGGATGGATCTTTCACCTCGTCAGATTTCAAGTGAGATTTTCCGTTTTCAACACATCAATTTGGAGGTTTCCTAAAATAGGGGTACCCCTAAATCATCCATTTAGATAAGATTTTCCATTATAAACCATCCATTTTGGGGTGCCCCCATTTCAGGAAACCTCAATTTCTTGGATTTTGTGCGCCATCACGAGCTTGCGCCCGTACCGTACAGGGGCGGCTGAGGGTGAGGAGTGCCCAGTGGAAGGTCTGCAAGAGTGGCCACATCCTCAGAGAATCCCAGATGAAGGGAATGGGTACATGGTAAAGGCCTTCCCAATTTGTAAACAATGGGTAAACGATGGGTAAATTATGGGAAATAATGGGTAAATAATGGTGAATCATGGGTAGATAATGATACTGGGAAATGATGTCTCATTCTTGCAATTGATGTCAAGGGAAAACATGCAGAAGAGCCTTTTATTTGAATGGTAAATCACTTCAGTTCTTCACACTTGACCGAATTCGGTTGGCTCAGGCTGCAAAGCATCTCCTTGCATCACTACGGTCCAAAGGCCACGGCCGATGATGGGCCTGAGAATGGAATTGGGATGGCGTATATGTAGGCGAGTATAGATATGATTATTTAAATTTGCGTAATTTCATGCATATATATATATGTTATATGCTATATGGTATATGGTATATGTTATATGTTATATGGTACATGTTTTTACGAAAGCCAGCCGATAGGCCAGGCAAAGTTGTTTTCGCGAACGAAGTGAGTATGGGGGGTGTGGAGGGGGGAGGTTGCCCAGGTGCACCGAAATTTCGATATCGGGTGGTAATAAGGGTGGCCACTTGGATTTTTTTAAGGGGGGCATGTACCACTAGGCAATTTGGTGACGGTGGGGTTCGATTCTCCCCAGGTCCCCTGAAAACGGAAAGAAAAAGGTAGGAAAAAACCAAGGAAAATGAAGGAAAATCGTTAAAAACAGGGGGAAAATGGAGGAACATGGAGGAAAATTGTGGAAAAAACATGAAACTGAAGGAAAAAATGAATGGCAAGCTTGGAAAAACCAAGGAAATCGAGGAAACCGGTGGGAAAATGAGGAATTTGCAGGAAGGAAACTTTGGAAAAACCGTAGGAACGCAGGAAAAGGTTTGAAAAAAAGGCATGAAATGGAGAAAGGGCAAAGCTTTGAAAAAACTAGGAACATAGAGGCAAGCATATTGAAAAAACTAAGTTCCGAAGCTCAACGGACCGTTGGGGTTCGGAGCAAGATAGTTTGCAAGGGGATGAGGAGTGATGCCGAGGAAGGAGTGGCGAAGGGTTGCAAAAAATGGAGGAAAATGGAGGAAAAAGTTGAACATTAAAATGGACGAAAAAATGAATGGCAAGCTTGGAAAAACCAAGGAATATTGAGGAAACCGGTGGGAAAATGAGGAAATTGCAGGAAGGAAACTCTTGAAAAACCATAGGAAAACGCAGGAAAAGGTTTGAAAAAAAGGCATGAAATGGAGGAAGGGCAAAGCTTTGAAAAAACTAGGAACATAGAGGCAAGCATATTGAAAAACTAAGTTCCGAAGCTCAACGGACCGTTGGGGTTCGGAGCAAGATAGTTTGCAAGGGGATGAGGAGTGATGCCGAGGAAGGAGTGGCGAAGGGTTGCAAAAAATGGAGGAAAATGGAGGAACATGTTGAACATTAAAATGGACGAAAAAATGAATGGCAAGCTTGGAAAAACCAAGGAATATTGAGGAAACCGGTGGGAAAATGAGGAAATTGCAGGAAGGAAACGAAAAACCATAGGAAAACGCAGGAAAAGGTTTGAAAAAAAGGCATGAAATGGAGGAAGGGCAAAGCTTTGAAAAAACTAGGAACATAGAGGCAAGCATATTGAAAAACTAAGTTCCGAAGCTCAACGGAGAGCAGCCGTTGGGGTTCGGAACAAGACAGTTTGCAAGGGGATGAGGAGTGATGCCGAGGAAGGAGCGGCGAAGGGTTGCAAAGCAAGGACAAGTGTGAAAAAAAAGGAACATGCAGGCACCTTTCAGACGGCAAACTTGGATCATAGCCTAGGCTACCGCGACATTTCTTTGCAGAACCAAAAAGATTCCGGCTAGGGGCTGGCTTTCGTCCCCCCTTCTCAGGTATGTTATATGTTCTATGATTTTGTAATTATATATAAACATAGAGAGATGGAGTTGTGAGGAACTCTTGAGCAGGACAGTCTTTGCAAGTGTAAAACATGAAGGAGGTGACAAGTGAAAGAGCCGGTGGATGGGGTGGCAGGGCAAGATATTGAAGATATCTCCGAGTTGGGGGTACCCAAACTTTCTATACAAGAGGATGTCTCATCCAAGACTAACCTTTACCTGTAATCCTGAGAGGGGAAACATGATTCTTTGACAATGGGGATTCACCCATTCCCCGCCACATCATTTCGGTGAAACCCCTGAAAATTTGTGAGATGTCAGGCTGCAGAGTGGTGTGTGGAGATGGGTGCAGTACCTTGGTGGGGAAGGTGTAAATTGACTCATTTTTGAAGACCTAGGCGGCCACCATTTCGGTCCTTTTGAGTAGACTAACGTATATAAACTGTCCAGACTTGAACGTAAGAGTTTTTTGCTTGGTGTTGTCACCAATTGGCTAGTTGGGCTACTTTTGGGAGTTGCGAAGCCAAGCGCCCTTTTTTCCCCTGAGTTTGAAGGAGTGAAAATACTGCAACCAGGCAGGCGCCAGAATAAAGATGGGGAGGGGACTTGAAGCCAGCACAAGTTGGATTAGAACCAACAACATTCCCAGAATTGAACGACGCCAAAATTGAGAGGAAACCTATTGTTTCCCATACATTTGGGTACCTAATCCCATATAAAAACCGTAGTTTCCTGTAGATTTTCCCAATAAACCAATCTATTGATCAACATATCTGATTCATATCTGGTCATGCAATCATATGAAATCCTCATTTTGAATGATTAGATCCTCACTTTGGAGGCTTCCGAACCAGCGAATTCCCGGTTCCCTCACCTTTGAGGTTTCACTTGAGGAGATCAAAGAGAGCTGGGAAGACTTCGCGCAGGACGAGCCGGCAGCCAGACATGGGACTACCATCTGGTAAGTCACATGGCTGGAGAATCCTCCCTCCATGGCCAGTTCGGGGGTTTCCAGCTTGCTATGTGACTGATTACCAGAGGGTAATGGGTATAAACGTGAGGTTTTAGCCGGCACATCAGTTTGGATATGATGAAACACAGCCATTTGAGGTCTCAATTGGTCTCGAAGTCCAATTCTTCATCATGAAGGTTGTTTCAAATTTCAAACAGGTGTCTTTTTGTTTCTGTCCATTCCTGCCTGAGATGATGATGGTGGTGGTGGTGATGATGATGATGAAGACTCTTATTCTTAGTATTATTACTATTAGTACCATCATTGTCATCATTATGAGTATCACTATTGTTCCAGGTGACCCCTGTAGAATTCGGCCAGGACCTTTCACTGAAGCCCTTGGAGAAGAAGCGACTCCAAAAGGCTCGGAACTTGGAAATTCTGCTGATTTTGGATTGGACTTGGTGTAGGAAGAAATACGAAACCAATTCAACGATTTATGCGTACTGTACATTTTAAGGAATAACAAAAGGGTTTTTGAACATAAACATTGATTTGATATATGGACCAAACAATTGATTCGGACTGGATATCCCCCAATTCAGCCCAGCAAAAAAAATCTTTCCACATCCATGGAAAAGGCGTGCCAATAAAACCTGAAACATCGATTAAAATAAACCTTTTACAATCTAAGGTTACATGAACTTAATTTGAATTATTTCTATTTTTATTTTATGGTCGTTTATCTCATATTATTTGGTATAATAATAACGATATCAAGATAATTCTTAAATACAATAAAATCTATATATTAGCCCCCGTTGGACCAGATTTTTTTTTCCTGTAGGTCCAGTCCGAAAATTAAAAATGCCAAGTCAGGAAGAAAATCATTCCAGCATGGATGTTGCAAGGTTGGGGTTCAGGAAAACAAATGTTGGAGCCAGGAAAGCAGGATTAGTAACATAAGGTTGTACCACAGGATTTTATATGTTTTGGGGATTTGCTTGCAAGGATTGCATGGTTTTACAAACAAGGTTGGGGTACAGGAAAAAAATCTCTGGGCCAATCTGCCGAACAGGAGAAGGTAGGATCTACATAAAGGTTGTGATCTTACTTTTTAATGCATTTCAGTGGTTTGTAAACAGGTTGAATCCGATAGCTTCACTGGATTTCAATTATGAACAGTTATGAACCATTGAAAGACCATCTATATCCCCATCTGGTGATGCAGATTATTTTCCTGGGGGTCCACTATCAAAATTCATAATTTTGAAAACACCGATTTGCACATGCTAACCCATGCGTCCGTTCGAACCCAGCAAAATAATTTTGGTTCAAAATAGTTCAAAATATTTCAAAATTATTTTCCTGTGGTGTACAAACGTCCGGCCACAGGAAAATAATTTTCATGGGGGGGAGTTTACTAGAACATATCTAAATGTCAAACCCCAGGAAAAAAATGTACCATGACGAATTGAGGGGGTATGATTCTTTACATGATTTTGCAAAAGGGTACAAACACGTATGTTCACCTTCACCAACCAAAAAAGTGACTTCAAGAGGCCAAGGCGCAGGGGTCAAACATAAAATCCAAGGGGCTGGACCTTTTTTTGGCTGAATACTTGCGGATAATTTTCAAAGGTTGGCCCCAGAGGAAAAAAGTCGCATCTCCAGGCCAATCATCCACAGATATAGACATGATGGGACGAATTCAAGAATTTTGTGTCAACGCGCCCAAATTGCAAAACAGGCGTTTCTTTCTGAAAATACATTTGTCCTTGCAAAAGGGGTACAACCACAGATGTTCAGCTTCACCAACCAAAAAAGGTGACTTCAAGAGGCCGAGGCGCAGGTGCCAAAAATAAAATCCAAGGGGCTGGACCTTTTTTTGGCTGAATACTTGCGGATGATCTTCAAAGGTTGGCCCCACAGGAAAAAAGTCGCATCACCAGGCCGATCATCCATAGATAGCACATGATGGGACGAATTCAAGAATTTTGTGTCAACGCGCCCAAATTGCAAAACAGGCGTTTCTTTCTGAAAATACATTTGTCCTTGCAAAAGTGGTACAACCACAGATGTTCAGCTTCACCAACCAAAAAAGGTGACTTCAAGAGGCCGAGGCGCAGGTGTCAAAAATAAAATCCAAGGGGCTGGACCTTTTTTGACTGAATACTTGCGGATAATTTTCAATGGTTGGCCCCACAGGAAAAAAGTCGCATCTCCAGGCCAATCATCCACAGATAGGACATGATGGGACGAATTCAAGAATTTTGTGTCAACGCGCCCAAAGTGCAAAACAGGCGTTTTTTTCCTGAAGATACATTTGTCCATGCAAAAGGGTGCAAACACATTTGTTCAGCTTCACCAACACAACAAGTGAGCTGGAAACGTTCGGATCCGCGATTTAATATGTTCCAGGGGCGGGGTATTTGCTAAAATTGTGATCCTCGCAACCCAGAAAATAGGTCTAGCAACAACATATGTTAACACGTGATTTAATTTGGGTGGTTGTGAAAATCCAAAGCATCTAATTCTTAATTTTAAATTTTCTTAAGTAATTGGGAATGAAGTGATACATACGATAAACGAGTGAGTTTTGGGTTCGTCTTCAGATAGCCCCCATTCGAATCTGTCATGGGCTCGAAACATTCATACCTAAATCTTGGGTCCCAGGAAATTATAGTCTATTAACAGCATATGTTGAGGGGTGGTTTGTTGAGCATTGTATGAGGGTTGGCACCCAGGAATTTAATTAATAACAAAGACATGCCTTTCTGGAAACCTTAGGCATCAGGAAATTAGTGCCTGCAAGCTTCATTCGTCTGAGAATGTAAATTCCGGCAAGAAAGGTCAGGTACCACGATTTTAATCTCAAAAAGGTCAGGACCCCCAAAATAACCCAGTTATTTTCCCAGGACAGGACTCTCCGGAGTGCACCAGATGGGGATCATCTATTATGAATCAGCAGTTTTTGAAAGGTCGTGATCTTCCAATTCAGTCGATTTGACGATCTGAATGGGGTAGGTACACATGTATCATCATAAAGGTTATGACCTAGGAAAAGAGTTGTGTCAGCGCAATGGTGGACCAGGAGAAATGTTAGTCCACATAAAGATTGTGGAACAGGATTTTAATTTGTTTGCCCGGGAAATTGCAATTTGGTTGTTGGCTTTTCGGAGCTAAATCCGTTGGGTTATACCCTTTGGAAATTAATTCCAAAAGGTTGTGGACCAAACGATTTAAGGCATTTTTTTCCAGGATTGGACCCTTTTGACCGGTACGACCGGGGGTCTATATATTTATATTTATAAATTTAATTGAGATACGATTTATATTTCTACGAAACTTAGCTGATAGGCTAGGATGAAATTTATATTGGGATTAAAAAATAAAAATATGGGGAACAGGATATATTAAAATGGACTAAATAAACATATTTGGCAAAATATGGAATAATATTATTTCTGGAACTATATTAAATTAAAAATAATTTATTGATATTTGGATATATAAAATTATTTTTATACATATTTAAAAATTTAAAATAAATATAATTTTTATTTAAAATATTATTATTATTATTTTTTTTAATAAGATATTGATAAATTATATATGTGAGTTTGGTGCCACCAAACTGATCTATTTACCACTTTGTTAGGTTGGAACCATTACATGCAGCTACAGAACTACATTGGACGTTCTCGACGCGGCCTCTTTGGCTTTTACGTGTCTTGCCTCTGGACAACGATTCCAGAGGGCCCTCTTTTGAGCCTAGCAATCGAAGCTACGCATGACAAAACAGATAGCACTCCTGCTTTGCATTTCGTGTTTGCACTTCGAGCGGCATAACACAACAAGATATCAATCCATATCTTCGCATTGGTAGCGGAGCCGGCAAAGATCCGGCTCTAGCCCGCGCTGCCATGTCGACTTCTCCGGCGAGAAGAGCTGCTGGCGGCGGTACTGGATTATTTCCTACCTCTCCGACCGAAACTTCTCCATATGTCAAGGCCTCCTTTGTGCCGAGGTTTGACAATACCATTAACGGCTACAAGGAGTGGTGGAAAAGGGTTTAATTGTATGCCAGTAGGCTTGAGCTGCAAGGTCGTTCAAAAGAATGTTTTGGCAGTACTTGAAGGTTCCAGTTGGACGTAATGTGAAGACATAGATCTCAAAGAACTGGAAGCCGAAAACGGCCTAGATGTGTTGCTGCGACGCTTGGATTCGAAATGGAAATATGATGAAAGGGTTGAGCTGGGTTCTATATTTGACACCTTTTTCTTTAAGGTTTAGCGAAAGCCCAACTAATCACTTTTGGACTATGTGACTGACTTTCACCAAGCCCTACGTGATGTTCAGAGACTGAAGCTTGATCTTCCTGAGGAAATTACTGGATGCCCCATGTTACGCAGAGCTGCCTTGACCAAGGACCAACAACACCTTGTGCAGTCCCAGGTTGGCAAAACGTTGACACTGGGAAACGTGGAGCAAAGCCTTTTTCTGGTTTTTGGTCAAGACTTCAAGCAATCCAATTATCAAAGTCACCGTGGAAAATCATTTCCCAAGGGAAAGGGTCGTTCCAATGTACACCATGCAGAAGATAATGAGCATGAATTTCAAGATAATTGGAATGAAAACTATATGGATACCTACTACGAAAATAATAATGACCAATACTATGAATGTGATGAAGAATGGGATGAAACATACTTTGGTTCACAAATTGACTGGTCTCCCACTACCTCTGAGTGGAATCCTAGCGAAACTGCTGCTGATGATGAATCGCTCTTCGATGTGGAGGAGTTCGATTCCGTTTACTCTGCATATGCCGATACCAAGAGCCGACTTGCACAGTTGCGCCAAAGCCGTGGCTTCTAGCCGGTTGTGGCACTGGTGGACGGCAAGGGTTCCAGCATGTTTCAAGGCGGGGGTAGTTCAAAATCTAAAGACCAAAGTAAAAAGGAATTTAAACAATCACCATATCCACCAAAAGGAAAGGGTATCAAAGAGGAAAAGCCATAACGGGGGATCTAGTTTGTTTGAGATGTGGAAAGACTGGCCACAAAGCTGCAAACTGCAAGAGCTCTTCTGCTGCTGCCTCTGGTGCCTCCTCTCCTGCAAAGGAGCGCCCCATCGACCTTGACCCGATGGTGAACATGGTCTTCCAGACCTCTGGCGATGAGTTCCATGAGATTGAGGAGACCTATATGCAAGGCGAATCTGTGGTGCGTGCTGGTGGATGGGTGACAAAGGAGCCCGACATGTGTATCCAAGACCAAGGAGCCTCTTCTTTCCTTGCTGGCAGCGAGTACATCTTGCGCTATCTGAAATGGTTGGAAGTTCAGGGATACCCCATGGACACCATCTCCTTCAAGAAGTGTAACAAAACCTTTCGTTTTGGCGGTGATACTGATGGTCATGCCCGCTGGATGGTTGAGTTGCCCGTGCACTTCGCCCATATTTCAGGTCGAATGCAGTGCTTGATCGTGTTCGGAGCCACCCCAATGTTTCTTGGACGTCCAGTTCTTGAACAACTTGGTACTGTAGTGGATTTTGGAAGTGGCAAGATGCACATCCTCGGTGGCCGATGGACCGAGATCGAACGTGGCAAGCAAGATGCGATGCTTCTACAACTTGCTGTAACCTTCAA